AAAATATTTATTGAATTTAAACAAATTAAAATGTTTATCGAATTTAAACAAATTAAAATTTTTATCGAATTTAAACAAATTAAAATGTTTATCGAATTTAAATAAATTAAAATGTTTATCAAATTTAAACAAATTAAAATTTGTATTCAATCTACAAATATTCTGTTTTTAAATTGAAAAATATTTCAATTTTATATATTGAAAATATAAAAATAAATAATTTCAAAAAATAAAGATTTTGAATTAATTAAATTATCTATAAACAAAATTTTAATTTAATTTTAAAATCCAGCGAAATGTTTTCTTCGCTGCAAAACAAAAAAAAAATGTTCTACTATAAAAAACAGTGTGAAATTTGCATTAATTTCGAAAAATAATTACAAATATTCAAACTCTGATAAATAAACTAATAAATTCAAAAATTTAATAGATATTTTTTGTAGTTTTCTGAATAAATGATATTCAATTTAATATTTGAACAAACAATATATTTTTTAAAAATTTATTTCCCTTTTGGAAATTTTCGCTCTCCTCGTTTTGTAAATTTTGAAAAGTAAATTTTTTTTTGAGACAAGAAATTATTTACAAAGAATGAGAAAATAATATACAATATTTGCTTGCGCATTATTATTCTTTAAAATTGTGTCAATAAACTCAACTATTATTTCCTCATTGGCTTGCAGGTAACAATAATAATTTATTTTGGACGATATTGCAACTTTAATCAATCAGAACATATACACTAGAATATGAAGGTAAGTGTAATTACACGGAGTTCATTATTTTTTTAGATTTAAAAGTTCATCGACACAAATTTTAATTGCAAATTACTCAATTTATAATTGAATCAAATTTCAACTTTTTTTTTCTTTGCTTTTTTCAATTTACATTTTTATTTTATTAATAACATTTATTATAACATTTAATTTAATATATTAAATAAATTATTATTTTTAATGTTTATTATTATTATTTGTTTATTTATTTATTTAAATCATTTCCCTTAATCGTAAGGATAAATTAATTATTTATATTTATTTATTGATATAGTAATAATAATTATTAATATTTTTATTAGTAATATTACTTTTATTATTATTAATATTATGATTATTTTCTTTTTTGTTACTATTTTTCGCTTTTACTTTTAGTTGTTATTTTTATTATTGTTAATAAATAAACCGTAGAAAATATTTTTTCATGAATGAATCTATAAGTATCGCGATAAATAATCAACAAAAATGCGGAATTTATTGTATTTTTTTAATGATATAGTTTATTGATTTTGATACACGCGATAATCGATGGAAATTCCTTCATATTAACGTTTTCAAATAGAAATCAATTGTTCGCGGATTCTTATCAATTTGTTGACACTTATTTATTGACATTATATACAGGTATTTGAATCATGTATATATCTTTTATGATAAGAAACTTTTATTTTATTTTTATTATTATCTTATTACTGTTATTATTTTTATTATTATTATTAATTTTATTTTTACACTTTAGATCTAAATTTAGAATTGTTCGCAATTTATTCAATTTTAAATGAATTTGAAAAAAAATTTCAGTAAATTATTTATATTATTTAAAATATTTGTATATTTATTACATTTTTTATTAATTTAATTATTGTACTATAATATCTATTTATTACCATAAAATTATAAATAATTATAATAATAATAAAAATAATAATAATAATAATAATAATAATAATAATAATAATAATAATAATAATAATAATAATAATTATTATTGTAAAACTTGTAAAAATATGTACAATGAAGAATAAATAAATAAATTAATAATAATGAATAATAATAATAAAAAATAATAATAAAGTAATATATTAAAATAATATTGAACAGTTAAATTATTCTCCTAATTAACCCTTGGTTAGATTTATAAATTTGTAGAGCAACGAATATATTATCCAGCCAACTCACTTAGTCAATAATTCATTGAGTAATTTTATAATTGATAAAAGACTAGATACAAATTACGTTATTATATAGGATTATTAAAGGAAGAGATAAAGATTTGTTTTACAATCAATCATAAAGTTTTTTTTATCAGTTTCTAATAGGATTGATTAAATAAAAATTTGAATAAATATACGCGCATTTGAAAGAGAAAAATTTTTCTTCATTACAAAATTTGAAAAAAAAAAAAATTTCCAACAAACTTTTCAATTTTTATGACTTTTTTTAAATTAAAAATTTCATTCAATTATTTTTAAATAAAATAAATAAATTAAATAAATTACATAAATAAATAAAATTAATATATTAAATTATTACCTAAGCTTTCTATTAATTATTAAATAAAGTGTCATTTTTCTTTCAATTTTATTTTCTTTTTAAAAAACAATATTTTTTCCCTTCTTGTATTTTGTTCTCACAAGAAGGAAAAAAGGTGTTCGTTCTTCTACTTTCAAATAAAAATTGTGTTCTACATTAAAATTAAAGAAAGAAGTTTTTCCTTAATTACTCTTCGCATGTGTAATTTTTAAATATAAAATTTTATAACAAACAATTTACACTAACATTAAATTGCATAATATTCATTGCGCATTAAAGAAAATTATAAAATCTAAAAATAAAAATAAGAAAAATTCTGCAATCTTGAAGGCGCTAGACGTTTCATGTGAATTTAAAGAAAAATTTATAAAAAATATGTTTAAAAATTGATAAATTATTGATGGCATGAATATTTAAATTTTAAATATAACTTTGTAATATTCTTCACCGACAATTATATGTATGAAATATAAATTATTTATACAAAAATTGTAATAATTAAAAATTATAATTTAAATAAATTATTTATCCAAAGAAAATAATAATTTATTTATGTACAAAATGATTATAATTTATTTAATTTTATATACAAATTATGAGAATATCTAAAAATATTTCAAATTTCCTCATTCTTTGAGTAAAGAAATTATTGTCGACTGTTTTTGTTCTGTTATCAAAGAAAAATATTTCCCACATAATGAAAATTAAACAAAAATTTCATAAAGAGAAAATTTCTCTCATTAATAATAATTAGTTTTCAATTCTCAAAAAAAAAGTCTATTAAATTCTTGTCGAATTCCACATAATTTCAAATGAAGGTAATTTTTGTTTTTGTTTTCAGAAAGAAAACAAAATTTATTTCTCATTCAAATAGAACTTTAATCCTTAAATCAAATTTTCTCTATCAATCTTAAATCAATAGTTCACGATTAAAACTTTTTATGGATAAAAAAATTAAATTAATATTTTTTGGAAATTCCAAAATATTTTAATTTAATTTTTTCTTTTTAATATGGAAAATAAATTTCTTAGATAATGTATTTAATTTAATATTCAAATATAAAATCTAATATTCGAATTAAATTATTTAAAAAAAATTAATTATCAATGAGTAACATTTTTTATCCGAAATAATTTAATTTGAATAATTTTACTTTTGCTTTCAATGAGAAAAGAAAATTATTTTTGATTCAGATAATAATTTAATAAAGAAATAAAAAATTATGTTCTGGATTAAAATTTTTTATTTTTAAATTAAAATACATTCAATTATAATTAATTTTATTTTTGCTTTCACTGAGCGAATAGAAAATTATTTTTCATTAAAATATAAATTTAACAATCAAATTATTATGTTCTCAGTTAAAATTTTTTATTTTCAGAATAATTCAAATTCAATCAATTTTTATTTTCGATAAGAAAAAAATGTACTTGATTCAAACATAAATTTAATAACTCAAATCAATATATATATATATATAATTATAATATTATAATATCTATAATTTATTCTTTATTAGAATTTTTTATTTCTGATAAATAATTTCTTTCGTTTTTAATTATTTAATTAATTATTTCAATTACCTAATTAATTTTATTCATATTTTGAAAAATTTGATTCAAATGTTAATATTTAAATCGAAATATGATTGGGGTACAAAAGTTCCAAAACGGAAGTTCAAATCGTAAAGTTCCAAGAAAAAAGTTCCAAAATGAAAATATCCAAAATTTATTTTTCCACAGTACAAAAGTTCCAAAATCCAAAATGTCCAAAATATAAATTTACCAAAGTATAAAATTTCCAAAATAAAAAGTGTTTGTTTGAAAAAATAAGTTTAAAAATGTAAATTGTAGCCGATGGCCCTAAGATATCCGAGAATGTCATTATTATTATCCACACAATCTTGAAAATTTAGAACGATATTAAAAATCCTGTCTTCGGCGATTACCGCGAACATAAGTAACCTATAATGTTAGTTAATTTTAGTAATATTAGTTATATTTATTTTTTTTTATTTTTAAAACAATTAAATATATTTTATATAACTTTCCATCCGAATGCTTGCAATATAGAAATCCTTCGATATGTAAATAATTTTTTTTCCGACTTGTAATATTTCTGCCATAATTAATCAAAAATATAATTTCACTGTTCATTATTTTCTAATTTAAATAAAGTGTTTCATATACTTTACAATTTAATACAATTTCACTGATTACTATTTTTAATTTGAATACAATTTTTAATTTCACAACATGATTTTGGAATGAGCACACGTCGAAGGACAATTTATGAAAATAACAACGACAATAACAACTGAAAGTTTCCTGACGTGAAGTTGTACTTTGAAATTTGAAAAATATTTCAAAAAACAATGTTTGGAAAAAACGACGATTGGAAAAAAAATACTTTGGTAAAAATGGTCTTTGGAAAAATAATATTTTGGAAAAAATTTAATTTGGGAAAATAATAATTTGGGCCCTTCGGAATTGGAACTTTTGACTCCATACCCGAAATATAACTTCGATTTTATTTTAAAACCAAAATTTAACTAAAATTGAATAATTAATTAATTTACTTTGATTAAGATTTTTTTTTCAAAAATTACTTAAATTCAAAATTAATTTTCATTGTTTCTCTGTAAAAAATTAATTAAAAAAAAAAACTGATTTAATATTTTCTGATTCCAGTAACCTAAATAAGGGACTGATTGAAATCAGGATGCATTCGAGCTCGAAAGAACTCGATCCGGAAGTAGCGGAATCAAATAAACTGGGGTTAGTAATAAAATAGCACTAAATAATAATTGGCACTCCATACGTGTGTGCAATTGCAATGAATAATAACTCGCATTTATTCAGTTCAATTCCACCACTTGTTAAATCTCTCATTCTCTCTCTCTTTCTCTCTTCATTTAAAACCAATTAAATTCACATCTCCAACTAAAATCACAAACCACTATTTATGATATATTTATTATACAGTTTTTCCTAATACTTATACATACACAATTATATATTCAAAGCACAATTGTTTATAACAATTCGAGAAATGCATAATATCCATCTGTGTGAGATACATCAACAATCGAGTGTAATTTAATCCGATGAATTAGATTTCAACTCTAAATAATTCTTGAGACCAATTAAAAATTTTTTTCTTACGCAATATGTGTTCAATTAACGTGTTTTGTAAATTTCTGTAATTTATCCTTGTCATTAGAATAGAGAGAGAAAAAAAATAGTCTTCAAAATTTCCAGTTTCTGTAAAAATGGAATTATTTAAATTTCTAGATTATTTTTTTTAATATTTTACGCTCTTGAAATTCTAAAATACTTCTTTTTCTTCTGGTAAATTATATGTTTGAATTATCATTTTTTTCATGTATCAATTTTTTTTTAATTTTCATTTTAACCTTTATTTAATTTATATTTTATTTTTTATTTATTCCTGCTCGTTTATATTGAAGTAAATAAACAAATAATTTATAATATTCATATTCTGATATAAATTATTTTTTTTCAACTGTTCGAATTATCATTTTTTTCACTTATCAATTTTTATTCCAATTTTAAATTCTAAAATTTTACTATTTATTTGTTATAAATATTTTCAATTTACATAAATAAATAAATAAAAGAAACAAAAAATAAATTTCTAACTTAATAATTATTGATTTTATTTATTTTATTTTTGTATTTATTTCTATATTGTTATTATTGCTATTTATTATTTATTTACTTTTTTTTATAAACGGAACGAGCCCTTTAGTACATATATAGTATTATTATTATTATTATTAATTTTTTTTATCCATTAGAATACCTTATTTTTTTTCTAAACGTAATTAAACTTATTATTTTGCAAAATAAATTAATAAATAAATTCAAAATTAAATAAATAACGGTGTTTTTTTACAAAAAAAGTAATATAAATGCAATTTGTAAAAATAGTTTAGAATAGAATAAATTAAACAGAATAGAATAAAAGTAGAAAATAGAACAGAAACAAATAAAAATTTCTTCTCTTGTCAATTTATGTAAACAGAAAAAATCCCTCTAAGCAATAAATAAAACAATTTATATATAAATAAAAAAAAATTATGCAACCGAAATAAAATTGGATTTTCCTTTCAAATTAAAATTTACAGTTTTACTAGATACATTGTAACTGTTTCTATAATTATTTTTTTTTCAATTATACAAATTATTTTCAAATTGCAAAAACTTATTTTTTATTTCTCTCTTGCGTATACCATATATTTGTCAACTTCATACGTTTTAAAGTCAGTAAGTCATTAAAGTCATTTACGCACAAAACATTTTTCTGATTGATTATGCATTTCCGAATGTTATAACAATCATATTCTCTCACAGATTGATATTTTTTTTCCCCTCTCTCTATATTCGCATTGTATATTTATGCATTTTTATTCATGTAAATTCAAATGTGATTTTTCAATGAAAACAATTGTGCGTTAATATCTATTGTGTATATCGAAATCATCTAAAAACGATAAATTGTAAAATATTGTAGTGCAAAAAAATGTTAATATTGTGAATTGACTTTCATAATGTACCAACTATACTCTCGTCAGCGACGAGAATAAAATGCGAGAAAATAAAAATTCTTTTTTCAAAATAAATCAAAAAAGAGATGACGAAAAATTATTAGAAATTACAATGATTATTATTATCAATCATAATTAAAAAAATAATAATTATATTATAATTATACGATTATTAATATTATTAATTATGAACTTTATATTAATCGTATATTTTATTTAAATAATAAATCCTAAATAAAAATAATAAATTTATTTATTTTAATTAGGATTTATTATATTATTTGTTTAATATTTTGTTATTAGATAATTTATTAATTTTAGATAAAAAAAACTTATTGAAAAATATTCTACTATTCCAGGAAAGATTTGCCAACTTTTAATACGCCCTTTTATATACTTTTTATAAAATTTTTTGGACTTTATTGGAAATCAACAATTGTAATACTATGGCCACTTTTATTACTACCGATCATCATCTTCAACACCGAAACGGTAAAAGTTTTTATAAATATTTCCACTAACTTAAAGAATTACTCGAATTCTATTTTTTTACTTAACGATTTAATTTTTATTACTTTTATTATTTCTGGTATTTTATTATTATTATTATTATTATTATTATTATTATTATTATTGCTATTGCTATTTTAACAAGTTAAGTAATTGATCATTTTAATACAATTTTAAATAATATTCATCAAAAAATGTAATTAATTTCAAAAAAATTTTGCATGAATTCAATTACATTTCACAAATAATGAAATTCTTCGCTGAAATTCAAATATTTTCAAAAATCTATTATTTTAATAAAATTTTCCAAAAGAATTCAATTATTTAAAAAAATCAAATAAAATACGTTTGTAAGACTTCAATTATTAACATAAATAATAAAATTTTTTCGAGGATTTCAATTATTTAAAAAAAATTTAATGAAACACGTTGCAAGAATTCAATTATTTTTCTAAATAATGAAATTCTTCACAGGATTTCAATTATTTAAAAAAATGTAATCAAAATTCGTTGCAAGAATTCAATTATTTTCCTAAATAATAAAATTCTTCATATGTTTTCAATTATTTTTACAATTCTTCGAAAGAAATCAATTATTAATTATTTTTTATAATTTTTGCATAAATTCCTTGAGAATTTTCAAATACATTTGTTTACAATTAAATTTTAGCAATTTTACGAAATTTCGATTATTTATTGGAAATTCTTCAATGAAATATTTAGAAAAAAATTGAATAACTTTTAAAAAAATTAATTCTACAGAATTGTCAATTAAAAGTATGAAAAATCCAAATTTTTAAAGATTTCAATTTGAAACCTTCTCAAAATTCAATTATTATCTAAAATTTTAACTGAAATTCATTTGTAAATCAATTTTTAACAGAAAATTCGTTGCAAGAATTCAATTATTTTTCTAAATAATAAAATTCTTCACAGGATTACAATTGTTTAAGAAAAATTTAATAAAATTCGTTGTAAGAATTCAATTATTTTCAAAAATAATAATTTTCTACACGGGATTTCAATTACTTAAAAAAAAATTAATTTAAAAATTCGTTGCAAGAATTCAATTATTTTCCTAAATAATAAAATTCATCATAGGATTTCAATTATTTTTAATACAATTATTATTTTAAGTAAATTCTTTGAAAAAAAGCATTATTTTTAAAAATTTTATTAAAATTCTTCGAAAGGAATCAATTATCAATTATTTTTTATAATTTTTGCAAAAGTTCCTTGAAAATTTTCAAATCTATTTGTTTACAATTTAATTTTACGAAATTTCGATTTTTTATTGGAAATTCTTCAGTGAAATATTTAGAAAAAAAACTTGAGTTACTTTAAAAAAAAATTCAATTAAACTTTTCCCAAAAAAATTAATTCTACAGAATTGTTAATTAAAAGTATGAAAAATTCAAATTTTTAAAGATTTCCATTTGAAACCTTTTTAAAATTCAATTATCTAAAATTTTAACTGAAATTCATTTTTAAATCAATTTTTATTAGAAAATTCTTCGAGAATTCAATTATTTAAATATGCAAAAATAAATAATTTATTGAATAATTGAATGTTTCTTAAAATTGAATTTTCATAAAGAATTTTATCAACAAATTTTTAAATAAATAATTGAATTCTTTCGACGAATTTTGATAAAATTTTTAAGAATAATTTAATTTTTCGAGAAATTTGTAAAATTGTATTAAAAATAATTTAAATTCTATATGATGAGTTTTATTATTTTTGAAAATAATTGAATTTTGGAGAAGAAATTTATTAATTGTAAAGATAATTAGACGAGAGTTTTAATACATTTTTTTTAATAATTGAATTTTATTATACTTTTGAAAATAATTGAATTTCTGCAATAATTTGTAACTTCTCCAAAATTCAATTTTTTCCAGTACTTTAATAAAAAATCCCTGACTTTTCCCTGAATTCCCTGACCTGTGACAACAACATGACCCTGTTATTATAATTTTAATAGGTCAACATTAACAAGTAGTTGAATAATTTAAAATAATAAAAATAAAGAAATAAAAAAAAATTCTAAATAATTACTATTTTTATTATTGTTATTTATTTAACATTTTGCATAGATTAATAATTGCAGTCGCAATGTTAATAATTAATATTATTATTATTATTATTATTATTATTATCGTTACTAATAAATAATTTTGAACAATAAACAGATGTATCGGTGCCTTTACATTGTGCTGGTAATGGCACTATTTTGGGTAACGGAAGTCCTGCCACTGCCAATAACAGGACTTCTACCTATTACATTATACCCATTGATGGGTGTACTTAGCACGAGTGCAACATGCGATTGTTACATCAACGACACCACAATGATGTTTTTTGGGAGTCTAGTGATAGCAGTTGCCATTGAAAATTCAGGATTGCACATGCGAGTTGCATTATTAATAATTAAAACAATCGGATGTAGTCATAGAAAGTAAGTCCTTCCTGTCATTTAATTTTCCCCTTCGCAGCAATCTCTACTTTTTCTACTTTTTCACCATAAATTATATTTTCTATTTTTATTTCTTTTTTGCTATAAATTATAATTTATATTTTTTTCAATAAATTATATTTTCTATTTTTATTTTTTTTTTGCTATAAATTATATTTTCTATTTTCTTTTAATTAAATTCCTTATTTTTCTCTTTTTTACTATCAATTATATTTTCTATTTTTATTTACTATACACTCGGAAACAAATTTTATTTTAATCAAATATTGTTTGAATGAAATTAAAAATATATTTTTCTCAGAGCCCACTGAATTATTTATTTAAACCAAATAAAATTTATTTGAACGAAATAAAATTTATTTGAAACAAATGAAAATTTTATTTGTGTTCAATAAAATTTTTACTTGAACCAAATGGAATTTATTTGAAACTAAACAAAAATTTTATTTGACACAGATAAAATTTTCATTTCAACCAAACAGAATTTATCTGAAAGAAACAAAAATTTTATTTAACACAAATAAAATTTTAATTTGAACCAAATAGAATTTATTTGAAACAAATAAAAATTTCTACTTGGCTTTGAGTCAAATAAATCTTTTTTTCTGGGTGTGCAAATTATCATTTATAGTGAATAAGAAAAAATAGAATTGCTCATCATTCGTCAATTTTTTTTCTCACAACACTTGTTAATTTTTTTTTTTCTCGAAATTATTTTTTCAGATTAAGTTTAGGTTTATTTTGCGTTACAATGTTTATTTCAATGTGGATTTCAAACACTGCAGCAACTGCAATGATGATTCCAATAGTCGAAACAGTTCTCCTTGAATTAGAGTCTGTAAGTATGAAAATAGTCTACGACTAAACAAATTCACAGAATAAGAAAGAAAATTAAAATTCGCTTTCTTTTTACAGCAAGGACTAGGCAATATGTTTTATCACGAAAACGATACAGACAATGATGCCGAACCGTAAGTTAATTAGATTTTTCCTTTAAAAAGAGAATTATTAAAAAACCGTATAAAAATTAGTCAGAATTCAATTCTTTCAAAAAAGAAGAAAAATACCAACAAGTGAAGAGAAAAATTTTCTTTTTCAGTACAAAGAGGCCGACAAAAACGACAATGGTTTATTATTTAACCGCAGCTTATGCATCGACTCTCGGCGGTATTGGCACAATGGTCGGAAGTGGGACAAATTTGACAATGAAGGGCATCTTTGAAGAGTTAGTAATGAAAATATATTAATTTTACTCCAAAGAAAAAATTAAATTTTCGAATTAAATTTCTATTTGGTAGTGAAAGTTTATAATTTGTGAAGATTCTACAATTTCTAACTTGTAATATTTTCGAAAAAAAATTTACAGACGATTTCCCGATAGTTCTGGAATAAATTTTGCAGCCTGGATGCTGTACGCTGTACCAGTGATGCTACTAATGGGATTCTTAGTATGGCTTTGGTTACAAATAATGTACATGGGACTTTTTAGGCCGAAAAGTAAAGAAGCTCGTGACATAGATATTGGAAAACAAGGCGAACAAGTGGCAGCAAAAGTAATTGAGGAAAGATACAGAGAACTTGGACCAGTTACGTGGCATGAATCCTGTGTTGGAATACTTTTTCTCTGCGTTGTATTTCTTTGGTTTTTCAGAAAACCAGAATTTGTTCCCGGTTGGCCAAGTTTCGTCACCGATTTGTAAGTGTAATCAGAAAAAACTATATTCCAAAAAACAATTTTTTATTTCTCTTTTCATCTTCAATTTCTTCTCAATTCAAATTTCTTTTCTAAATCGATTTCAATTTCTTTGGAAAAAGAAATTAAAATTCCACTTTTTTTGGAAAAAAAACCAATCGAAAATTAAAATTGCCAACCAAAAATAAAATTTTCCTCTTCCAGAAAAGTAAAAGACTCAACGGCAGCGATAACAGCAATTATTCTCCTCTTTGCACTGCCGGCAAAATTAGATTTTCTAAATGCATTTAATAAGGATCCAACTAAACGACCAACGAAACCCTCGCCGGGAATGATAAATTGGAAAGTTATTCATCAAAAAATGCATTGGAGTTTAATATTTGTTCTCGGTGGTGGATTTGCCATAGCCACCGGAAGTACAAAATCTGGACTATCTAAAATGCTCGGAGAATCATTAACTGGTCTCAGTTCAATGAACGTTGTGGCAATTTTATTTATGGTATGCCTCTTCTCAGCAACAGTCACTGAACTCACGTCAAATGTGGCTGTGGCAACTATCATTTTACCAGTATTAGCCGAAATGGTAACTATTTTCAGAAACAAAATAATAACATTAACAATAATAAAAATAATAAAAATAGAAAAGATAATAACACAAAACAATAAGAAAAATAGAAATTATAATAATAGTAATAACAATAATCAGGGTTGCCAGAAAAAATTAATTTTGTTTTTCCCTGATTTCCAGACAAAATTTTGTACTTTTTCCCTTAACCTAAAGAATATTCTAATTCACTCTAAAAATTATTAGAAGCTCAAAAAAAATGCTCTATTAACATTTATTTCCAAATTTCTTTCATTGTAAAATTATTCGAAAACATCAATAACTTCATTTTTAAATAAATATTCAAAGTTATTTTCAGTTATTTTCATCATTTCAATTCAATTATTATTTTCTACAATTTTTAACTAAAATTCTCCTTTAAATCAATTATTTTTAATAATTTTTGAAAAAGTTCTTCGAAAATTTCCAAATCCATTTGTTTACAATTCAATTTTACGAAATTTCATCGATTATTCGGAAATTCTTCAAATTGTATATTATAAAGAAAAGAATTTGAAATAATTTCGAAAAAAAATTCAATTAAACTTTTTTAAAAAAAATTAATTCTACAGAATTGTCAATGAAAAGTAGGAAAAATTCAAATTTTTAAAGATTTCAATTGAAAACCTTTTTAAAATTCAATTATCTAAAATTTTAACTGAAATTCATTTTTAAAACAATTTTTATTAGAAAATTCTACGAGAATTCAATTATTTAAATGCAAAAATAAATAATTTATTGGACAATTGAATTTTTCTCAAAGTTGAATATTCATAAAGAATTTTATCAACAAATTTCTAAATGATTGAATTCCTTCGACGAATTTTAATAAAATTTTTACGAATAAATTACATGTTTCGCGAGAAATTTGATTAAAATTGTATTAAAAATAATTGATAAGAAAAGAATTTTTTTGTTTATGAAAATAATAATTCATTTTAATCTAAAACCTTTTCAAAATTCAATTATTTCTATAAATTCGCGCTATAATGCTTTTAATATTGAGTTATTATCTCAAATTTCAACAGAAATTCATTTTTAATTCAATTTTTATTACAAAATTCTACGAGAATTCAATTATTTAAATTCAAAAATAAATAATTTACCTTGAATAATTCATTGTTTCTTAAAATTCAATTCTCGAAGAATTTTATCAACAAATTTTTAAATAATTGAATTCTTTTGACGAATTTTAATAAAATTTTTAAGAATAATTACATTTTTCGAGGAATTCAATAAAAATTGTATTAAAAATTATTGAAATTCAGCGATTATTTTTATTATTTATGAAAATAATTTAATTCGCAAAAATAATTGAATCCCTGAAAAAAATTATATTATTTATGAAAATAATATTGAATTATTGCGAAGAAATTTATAAGAAATTTGCAAATAATTGCAACCCTATGAAATTTTAATTATTTATGAAAAGAATTAAATGTTTGCATAGAATGTTATTAAAATTTGTTTTAAATATTTGAATTTTTTTGGAAAATTTTATTAAAACAGTAGATATTGAAAATCATTGAATTGAGGAAAATTTTTAAAAATAACTGAAATTTTGCTAAAAATTTTATTAAAATTTTGACAAGAATTTTTCTTAATTTTTGAATATAATTGAATTACTGCGAACAATTTTATTACTTTTGAAAATAATTTAATTTCTCTAATTATTTGTAACTTCTCCAAAATTCAATTTTTAAAGTATTTTTAACTAAAATTCTTCTATAAATTCATTATTTTTAATAATTTATTAAATAAATATTACAAATTTAACTAATTTCAGAAGAATTTGAATTATTAAAATTTTTCAAAAATCTAAGTTCTTAAAAATTTCTAATTAAATTCATTCTAAATTGAAATTTTGTAAAATTAGAAATTAAAACCTTTTTAAATTCATCTACTTATGAAAATTGTAAACGCAACTCTTTAAATTCAATCAATTTTGAAATATTTAAGTTAAATTAATTCATGAAATAATTTTTAAGTAATAATATTATGATAATTCTTCAAGAATTCAGTTATTTAAAAAGAAATTGTTGTCAGAAATAGAAAAAATTGAAGATTTTGTATTAGAATTCGTGATAATTTTATAATTTATGGGGCAAACTAGAAAGACATCAAAATTTAGAATTTTCTTATGAATTCTAAAAATTGAATTTTTTCTAATTCTTTTAATGAAAGTATCTTTAATTTTCCCTGACCTGTAGCAACCCTGTAATAGTAATAATAACAATAATAAAAATAGTAACGATAATAATAATAATAATAATAATAACAACAATAATAATATTATTAATAATATAATAATAATATTAACAATAATATTATTATTTATACATTATTAATATATGTAAGAATAATAATTTTTCTAAATAATAATTATTTACCGACTTTGTTCTCAATGTTTCAGAGTGTAGCCGTTAAAATTCATCCTCTCTATTTAATGTTACCAGCAGCACTTTGCTGTTCATTTTCATTTCATCTTCCAGTGGGAACTCCACCAAATGCTATTGTAAGTGCTGCCGGCCATATAAAAACAAAAGATTTCGTAATTGCTGGCATTGGTCCTAGTATTATAACGATTGTCATTACATCATTGTCATTTTCCACATGGGGAATGTATGTTTTTAATCTTAGCGAATTTCCGGAATGGGCTTCCCACAAACATGGTAGTAATTAATTAATTTATTTTTTTTCGCCATTATATCAATAATATTAGTCCTATTTGTGTCAATTATTTTCATTAATTATTTAATTTAAAGTCTTTGTTTTTTTACAACCATTGTCATTTTTATTTTTTTTTAAGTAATTTTAAAAATAGATTTATATAATTATTAAAATAGATTTTTATCCGAAATTTAAGTAATGTATTATTTTTTAGAGACTATTTTTTCTCAAAAGAATTATTATTCACATTCGACGATTTTTTTTAAATATATATACTTTTTTACATACAATAATTGTTGCCAACGAATACAAACGAAACAAAAACAGTATTTTGATTAAATCAGAATACGAGATGTGATGAAAATAAAAATAAGATGATTTTTTTTAATCATGTGATATTAAAGCGTGCTCGGTTAAATGCAAATAACAACGCGATGTTAAATCTCTAGTGAATAATATTTTATATACGTTTAATAGAAATGAAATAAAAATTTTAATGATAATTCCTGTTTGTTTTGTGTCTTATTTTAAATAAAAAATATTTTAAAGATTTTCCTAAACTTTGAACGAATATTTTTTGTGCTTCAATATTTTAAAAAAATACTGGACTGAGAAAAATATTACAATTGAACATTTATTTTAGAAGAAATTAATTTTTTGATTTTAAAAAACAATAGTTTGTAAATAAAATTTAAATTAAAAGAAGTAATAAAAATATCGTATGAACGTTTGACACTTTAGGGACATTTTGGAATTAATTTTTAATTTACCTATAGAAATATTTTTATTCTCTTACCATCTGTAGTTGTGTCATGAATCACAGCATCTTCTTGTAAATTAGACATTTTCGTACAATATTAAAGTTTAATCTAATTCAATTTTTTTATTTTTGTGCGTGGCACCTGCGGCATGAGTGACCTAACCTCAAAATCGCGGAACTTTTACACTCGCAATTTTTTCTGTGTATTACACTTAAATACTGATATTCTCATTGAAAAGTAATAATAAAACATAAAAATTAGTTTTAATTGATAATGACACTATGTTTAGAAACTATACTGTCAATAATAGAGAAGATAGAAAATAATCAAAATCTAAGAAAACGAATAGAAAACTCACGGACATAACTGAGAAATTCCAACAACTACGGTGTAATTTAACACGAAACTTCTAACCGGACTAATTCTATCAATCTTGTACAACATAATAATTGTTAATTATCACTTCAGTAAATAATAATTACAATAAAATAAATAAACTTTTGCACTAAACATGACTAAACTGCATGATTACATTTGACAGTTGTCTGGTTGGTCAGGAACGTCAGGAATTCCACCCCCTCCATCTTTGAACGGAGGGAACGCGGAATGGAGGGAAACGGAAGGAATAGCGGGAAATTTAAACTCTTTTTTAAAGTCTGCCATACAATTATTGTTTTATCATCAGTATATAACAAATTTAAATAGTATTAACATTAAAATAGTATTATTAAAAAAGTACTTACTTTTAAAAACAGTACTAAAAAAACTGAAATGATGGAAAAGTACTATATGAAATGATTAAAATGACGGAAGATAAGATTAATGAAGTGGTGGGGTGGGAAATCTTCCGTCTTTTGGCATCCCTGATCTGTCCGTGACAGTCTCCGCCTCCCACGGTGAATGTATGTCTGACAGTCAACAATTATAAAAATTATAAACAGCACTGTAACTGACATTTACGGTAAAGTTGAGTGTGCTAATGCAAGAACAAAAAGAATTTCCATTTTATAAAAGAGTTATCCTATCAATAATACCAATTTAGTATAAAAAGATGAGCTCAATGAGCTCGCCGGTGTCAGTGGGCAATGCAAATTCCACTTCGGGTGTACCAGGAATGGAAACAATTGTTGCAATTGCACTGGGTGCTCTGGCTGCTGTATTTCTTGGTGCCTTATTTGTTCTCTTGATAATTTGTCGAAGACAACGTTGTTATTATGTACGTATTTTACTCATAGTGTATAATACTATACTAACAGTACTATATAATACTACTGTACTACAATAATACTATATTTTTACTCCTTCGATTCTTTGCAGAAGCAAAAAGATTCGCCAGACATGAGTTCAGATTTATTAGAAGGGGAAAATATCTCGGGTCTTACTTTAGATGCTTGGGAGAGTGAAGAATGGTTGGCAGGAGCTGATAGGTAAAAATTAATTATCTAATTGTAAAATATAATTATTATTAATAAAAAATATGAATAATTAGTTAAATATTAAAAATATAGGTGGGTTGACGATGCGACAGGATTGGCACCACCTTGTATTGCAGTTCTTCGATCTTGTCACTCTTTGGCAGCAAGTTTGACAGCAATTGCTGGCACTGTAAACAGCAACACTGTTCCTCTTGAAATTGTCGATGTGAGTTTATTTTTACAATTAAAAAATAGAAATTTTGTCTTTTTACAACTAAAAAATAGAAATATTAAAAAGAAAAATAGAAAATCGAATTAATATCGAAAAGAAATAGAAATAAAAAATAGAAAATAACATTAATGATCTTTGTGGATCGAATTGAAAATATTTTAATAATTTAATTTTTCAGGTCGCAAGGCGAATTCCTCCAAGAGTGGACGACGTTGTTCGTAGTTTGTATCCACCGCTAGATGCTCGATTATTAGAGGCCCGGGTGGCGGCTCTCGTTCTTGCAGTAACACATTTGGCATTGGTGACAAAACACGGAGTACCTAAAAGTCAAGCTCGAAAATTAGCGTTCATTGATCAAGCACTTAATGACATGGACTCACATTTATTAGTCCTAAGAAATGCAGCATTGGCTCAGGAAGCTGGTTGTACGATACCAGCTTCAACTCCCGTTTAAAAGAAAAAGTTATTTCCCCTCCCCCCGAAAGAAGGTACTCAAAAACCTATTTTCAAAAGATGCAATAAATCAACTAAATTTTTAATTCTTATATAAATACAAAATAAGAATGTAAAAATCTTCCAAAAGATATAAATGTTAAATATCTTTTTTAAAAGATGGAAATTTTGTGTAAATAGAAACATGAAAAAAAGGAAATATTTTTATACTTGGATTAACTATTCAAGTAATACTTTTCAAATATAAAATTTTACATCTCAAAGGAAACTTTAACTTTAAGAAGTAATACAAAAATTTATTTCCATAACAATAGTTGAGAATATTCAACGTCAAACGTTGAAGTCTCTTTTTTTATAGATCTCATTCTGAATTGTAATTAATTTTTCCATCTAAACTTGTTTTTTAGTCTATTTTTCTATTCTCATCAAATGAGAAAGTAATTCTAAGTTAAAATAAAAGAATTAATTTTAAATGTTACATAATTTAAAGAGAGTTCGATTTAAAAAAGAGAATTTATTCAAAAAATTGGTGTAATTTTTATTAATCTGAAATACACAATTCATAAATATCGGTTTGTCATTATGCAGAAAATTTTACGTACATTTGATAATCTGATATATTTCTAAGAAACAAAAAAGAATAAGAAAATTGTTATATTTTTTGATAAAATTTTAAGAAAATGTTTTATAATAAAGAATTCTACGCGAAAATCATTTCTGGTGAATTAATTAATGTGTCAGCATGCGTAATTATTATTATTATTATTATTTTTTATTATTATTATTATTATTATTATTCACAGTAAGCAATAGGCTTAGTTTCAATTTTAAACCTTTAAAAATTTGTTTCGCTATTTCACAAAATTTTTCTTTTTTTTAGTGAAACTTGCGAATAGATCTAAATTGTATATTTTTTTTAATACCTGTTTTGTCAGTTAAATAAATTATCTAGATCGGTTTGTGATCTGCTTTCGTGCTACACAGCAGCAACGAAATTGAGATCGCAAGATTATTTGAATTATAAACTATCGAAATCGGTACTATGATTAAGAACAATATTATTTTTTTTTGTGTGTGAAGAAAGAAAACCTTGGGAAATTGAAGGAACACTTCGGTCAATTGTTTGTTTTCTCTATTTTTGGCGACTCGTCAACTCCTTCTGTCTCTTCTGATTGTCTTTCAAAATTTTGCTCTTAAGATGCTCCTTGTAATCCAAAATGTTGCCCTGCCATTTTGTCACTGTGGTGTTCTCGCAAACCCAAATTTCTTCTGCCACCTGTTTGAATTTTATTGTTAGAGGATTTTAGAAACAAAAAGGGAATTTTTTTTGTCTATTTAAATTTAATTCCTATTTCTTCTTCAGGGTTGACACAATAATTTAATTTTGTCTTACACTTTCCTTGCTATTTTCCTAAATTCCCTTAAACTGTGGCATCCCTGTTTTTATTCTCCTTTTTCTTTAAAAAGAAGAACTTAACTTTTCTTCTAAAGTAAAAATTTTTATTATTTAAGAAGGAGAAATACTTACTTGACTAATAAGTCTAAAGTCGTGGGAAACTAGAACCATTCCTCCATCGAAATCGTTAATTGCGTCGGCTAATGCATCAATGGTTTCCATATCTAAATGATTGGTGGGTTCGTCGAAGAGAAGTAAATGCGGAACTTGCCATGCAAGCCAAGCAAACACAACGCGACAACGTTGTCCATCGGAAAGTTGACGAATGGGACAGACCTTTTGTAGAGAAAAATTCAAAATTAGAAACTTTCGATAGCTTTAAAAAAAAATGTTTAACTTTTGTCGTTGAAAAAATAAAATAACAGTTTACCTGCTGACGTCCAGTGAGACCATAACGACCAATGATTTTCCTCATTTCTTCACGTTCCTTCACGTCGGGGAATGCTCTCATCATATAATCCAGAGGAGAAACATCAAGATCCAAAAGTTCATGAAGATGCTGGTGATACCTGGCAATTCGCAAGTGACTGTTTTTTCGAATCATTCCACTCGTCGGTACCAACTGAAACGTAAAATTCATTTTTAAAAATTAAAGATAGGAAAAAAGTAAAGATAGGGAAAAGAAAACAAAGGAAAAAAGTATAGATAGGAAAAAAGTAAAGAAAGGAAAAAGTAAAGAAAAAAAAACAGTGAAGAAAAGAAAAAGTAAGGAAAGGAAAAAGTAAAGAAAGGAAAAAAGAAAACAAAGGAAAAGAATGTAAACTCACATCTCCGTAGAGTAGTTTTAACAAGGTACTTTTTCCAGCTCCATTAGGACCGACCAAAGCAAGTCTTGTATCTAAATCAATACCGAATTCCAAATTTTTGTAAATTAATGGACTGTCGTCATTATATCGGAAGCTGACATTCTGAACCATAATAACCGGCGGCGGAATTGTTCCACACGATGGAAAATAGAAATTTAAAACTTTATCGCTAACTACTTTCTCGGTTAAACCTTGAGCAACCATTTTAGCCAACGTCTTCTCTTTAGATTGAGCCTGTCTTGCCAATTTTGCCGAACCGTGACCAAATCGAGCAATATAATTCTTCATATGCGCAATTTGATCCTGTTCCCAATTATACTGTTTCGCCTGATTCTCCAATAATTCCATTCTAATGAAAAGAAGAGAAATTAAATTAATCTCCGTTAACTTTTTTCAATCTTTTTTCTTAAAATCTATAGCAAAATGTACCTTGTTTTCATAAATGCTTCGTAATTTCCACCGTAGTATTTTAGTTGTTTTTTATTAAGATGAATAATATTGGTACAGATGCCATTGAGGAAATCCTGTGAATGCGAAATAATGACGAGAATTCTTTTGTATGTTTTCAATTCCTCCTCAAGCCAGACGCAAGCATCCAAATCGAGATGATTAGTGGGCTCATCCAACAATAGTAAATGAGGTTTCACGTAGAGTGCTCTGAAAAAATTAATTCTCAATAAAAATCCTTAATAAAATGGGAAAAAAATAATTACAGGCTTCGCACTCGTTAAATAAAAAAAACAGCTGTAAAAAGTAGCTTTAAGACTAAAACGAATTCAATGACTTAAATACAAAAATTCATATTTTTAAAAATAAAAATTGCAAACTCTGGTTTTTTTTAAAAATGAAAATAAAAATTTAAGGACAATTTAAAGTTTCAATATCTTCAAAATGACATAAAAACCAGAATTTTTGTAATAAATGAATGCCAAGTTTTTAACTAGTTTACGAAAATTACCTTGCGAGAGCGATACGCATCCGCCAACCACCAGAGAAATCTTTGGTTGGTGTTTTCTGCATTTTTGCAGTAAAACCTAAACCGTGCAAAATATGCGCTGCTCGCGCCTCTGCAGTGTCGGCTGCCATATCGTCTAATCTCTCATAAACATCCATTAATTGCTCCTGTTAACAAACAAGTTTTAATTAACTAGAAGAAAAATCCAACTAGCGAAAATTATTTTCTATCGTAATTTCATTTCTACTGTAATTTATTTTCTTTATTATTTTTTCTTTTTTACTTATTTTTATTTCTGTTAAGTTTTTTTTCTATATTTAATATTTTTTATATTTAATTTCTTTTCTATATTTAATTTTTTTTCTATAATCAAATTTCTTTTCGAACTTGATCAATTTAATTACCTGAGCGTCTTGCTCTTCGCACTCGATAAGTTCCTCGGCGAGTTTTTCCAATCGCACACGTTCCTCGTCGACTTCCATGACGCATTCAAGTGCACTTTTAGTGCTCGCTGGCATTTCCCTTGTCAAATGAAAAATATCAATTGAATCAGGAATAGGCACTTCGCGATTTCCAAGTACCGATAATAAAGTTGATTTTCCCGAGCCATTGAGACCCAATAAACCATAACGTCGTCCACAATTCAACTCCAGCATTGTGTCCTGAAGTAATTCACAGCCATGAAAAGTAATAGAGAAATTGGAAATTTTAATATCCCGACTGCGAGGATGTGATGCCAGTGATCCTGTGCAGGCTCTTGCCTCTGCATTAAGTCGAGCGTCCGCTTCCAATTTCAAGCAAAGTGCCTCTAAAAAATAAATACCAGATTTCAATTAATTTTCCTAGTTCATTAAAAAATTATCAAAATCAACTACCCAATAAAATATTTAAATAGAAGAAAATTATTATTTAATTTCCCTACCTTCGGCACTTAAAGGCGCAGTCCCATTGGTACCATTAGCATCGCCAGGCACAGGACTTTCTTCTTTACCGTTTTCATTGGTTTTGCCTGAATTGATTGGTTTTTTGCCAGATTGTCTCGCTTTCGCAGCCTCCTTTTTCTTCTGTTGCTGCTTTTTCTTTGCATCGGACGGCATTGTCACTGGAAAAATTTACAACACACTCACCATAAGTAAAATCTGCATAATGATTATAAAAAAAAATACGCGATTCCGTTACGTAAGTTTACAGGTTAGGAATTATGCACCACGTGTACAGTAATAAAATATTTCGCAATATATTACAAAAATTTTTTTAACACTTCTCAACATTATTAGAATATCAAGAAAATCGTTTATGCGTGACCTCCAACTGAGACAAAAGATTACACATCGCCAGCCTTCTACACCTTTCGCGAAATATTTAACTCCTTAATGTTAATCCAGCTGTCAAAATTTTCCCGATATCAACACGTGACAATAAGATTTTCAATTGTTTTCAATTGTTCGATTAATAATTGGAAAAATTTACCTTCTTTGTGCGCCAAAAAAATGGAATTCGTTCGTCACACAGACACGTGCGTGACGAGAAAAGGGAAACGAAGCAAACGGCAAAAGCGAAGCCGTCAAATGACTTAAATGGAAAGAGAGAGAGAGAGAGAGAAAGATCGTCTAGATGTCTCTACTTTCCTCTGAAAATTCCCGCGTCACCTCTTTTTAATTTTGTGTATGCTTTTGCTAAATCAAATAATACAAATTGTTATCACTTTTGATGAATAATTAAAAAGAATTCCACTTGATTCAGTAAAAAAAAGCTGTGTAATATTTAGGAGTAAATTTTTAGGTTATGTCACAGTCGTGTGACCTGTGTGACAAAAATGGATTTCGGCATTTGAAAATAGTACGTACATTGTTTTTTATTATTTTCGTTTATGATAGAAGCACTATTTTTTATTAATTATTAATTAATATTTAATTAAAATAGGTTTAATAATAATGAAATAAGAAAATTTCAAATTTAGGCGCGTTCTTGTAACGATCATCATGGCGTCAAAATGGACCAATCAGCGCTAGGAAATATCAGGGCACGAAACAATGAAAGTATTTAAAAAGAATTTAATTTAATTATTTAAATACAAAAATAAAATTTTTTTTGAATAATTGAATGTTTCTTGAAATTCAATTCCTACAAAGAATTTTATCAATAAATTTTTAAATCATTGCATTCTTTTGACGAATTTTAATAAAATTTTTAAGAATAATGATATTTGTACAATCAGTTACAAAGGGTAATATAAATTATCAGTCAACACGACTGACAAAGTTTAAAAAAAATTTTTTTTTTAAAGCTATACTTAAAAAAAATAACGTAAAAAATCATTTGGTATATAAACGACGAATTTTTTCAATTTTTTCAAAAAGTGGAAATAAGTGTATACTTTCTCGAAAATAAAAGTAAAAATGAATCATGGCTGGGCTTTACTAATTTTTATTGTTCACTGTATTGTGACAGGAATATTGTTAAAGAGTACACTCACGAATCACAATGAGAAGGTAATAAAATTAATTATTAAAAAAGAAATCGTGATAATGAAGGAAACATTTTTAATTTAATTTAAAATTTTATTGACATATTTTTGGTAAATTTTTTAATTTTTTAATTTTTCATATGCTATACATACACTTTTGGAAAAATGTTACATTTACCTTCAAGTTTAGAAATAATTACGCGTATTAATAATATTTTGCTAAATATTTAATAATTGATTGAAAAATTAATAATTAATGAAATAATTGACAATTAATTAAATAATAAATATTTTCATATTTATAATAGTTATAATAATAGAATTTTTAAAAACACTTCAATTTTCCTAAATAAAAATTATGTATTTGAAAGAAAAGTTATTTTCGTTATTATTGAAACAGTTTTTGAAGTAAAAAAAAATGTTAGAGATAAATAAAAAAGACAATAAAAATTTAACAGTGAAAAACTAGCTTCTTTAAATTTTATTAGATTATTTTCTATCTTAGAAAAATTATTAAAACCGGGAAAAATGAGGAAAAAGCTGAAATACTTAAAACCGGGGGGAAATGTTTTTTTTTCTGAAAACAAATTATTTTTTTAAAGACAACTACCAGCACAACGAGCACAACTACTACCACAACCACAAAAAAACCAGTGAGTACTTTATTATAGTATTGAGCAAAAGTAATTTTATTCATTGTTAAAAATTAAATTTATGAAATAATTAAAAATTTTATTTTAGTGCTTTAATTTTAATAAAATTTAAATTTATTAAATGTTTTTTTTATTTCAATAGGATGGTGAAGAAATTAAGCCAATAACAGAAAAAATTGTAAGTTATTTTCGTTTAATAATTTATATTAAATTTTTTTTGTTTGTATTATATATTGTGTATTTTAATAATTTAACAAGTAGAATGGAAAATTAAATTTATTTTTTTTAAAGATAACTACCAACATAACTAATACCACATCCATTAAAAAATCTGTGAGTAATTTATTGTAGTATTGAGTAAAAGTAATTTTATTCATTGTTTCTATAAATTTTATAGTCTTTACATAAAAATAAATTTTACTTTATTTTATTCAATTAATTTTTTAATTTTATTTAATTTGTTTTAATTTAATTAAATAATTAATTTTTTATTTTTAAAAAAGGATTATGATTATCAGGTAAAATACAGACTATTAATTATTTAAAAATTACTTTATTACTTACATTGAATTTAATAACATTTTTTCGTTTCTAAAGGAAAATAATAATAATGATGATGATGATGATGATGATGAAGATTATGAATGGTTAAGACTATAAATAAGTTGGAGAATCGGTAAGTATAATTTAGTAACAAATTAATCATTCTAAGTAAATTTTATTTAATTTTTAAAAAGGAAGATACAAATTTAATTACTAATTTTAACAATATTTTCAAGCTATACTTTATTTATTATATTCTCAGACTTCGCACTTTATAATTAATATTAAAAATGTATCAAAAATAATTAAATAATTAATGTATTAAAAATAATTGAAATGCGGCAACAAATTTTATTAAAATTTTCAAAAATAATTGAATTTCCCCAAAAAAAATGTATTACATTTAAAAATAATTGAATTCTTGTGATCAATATTATATATCTATATGAAAATAATTAATTTATCTATTTATGAAAATTTTATTTTAAATAATTGAATTTTTGTGTAAAACTTAATTTGTGAAAATAATTGAATTTTTCGATTAATTAATTTAAAATAGTGTTAAAAATAATTGGAATTCTTCTATGAGTTTTATTAGTTATGAAAATAATTGAATTCTTGCTTAGAATTTTATCAAAAGTTTTTAAAAAAAATTAAATTTCCATGAAAAATGTAGCATAACGTAAAAAAATGAAGTAAATAGTTAGTTTTAGTAGATGATGAGTGAGTCTTGAAATGTTGATAAAATGAACCAAGTTTCATTTTTATTTTGCAGTCACAAAAATAATAATTATTCCTATGATGTATTAAAAAACCTGTGAGGAATTTATTATAGTTGAAAATAAATATTATTCTAAAAGAAACCTTATTGTATTTTTTTATTTATACTCGTTTAAAGTCACGCATTATACGACAGGCCAAGCACCTGTCAAATGTATCATAAATAATTTCATGTAAAAAAGAAATAAACTTTTACAAAAAAATTAATTCTTCTACAGAATTGTTATCTAGTTAAAAATATGAAAAATTAAAATGTTCAAAGATTTTAATATGAAACCTTTTCAAAATTCAATTATTTCTACAAATTTTAATAAAATTACACTTTTTTGAGGAATTCTATTAAAATTGTATTAAAAATAATTGAAATTCAGCATCGAGTTTTATTATTTATTTATTTACGAAAATAATTGAATTCCTAAAAAGAATTTAATATTTACGAAAATAATTGAATCCCTGTAAAAATGTTATTATTTGTGAAAATAGTTGAATGATTGCAAAGAATTTTATTACTTTTGAAAATAATTGAATTTCTGCAATCAATTTGTAATTTCTCTAAACTTATCCAAATTATATCGTTCAATTTACGAACTTTTCGTCTTTTTTCTATCAAATTACGGACTTTACGAACCTTTTTTTTTTTTTTAAAAAAAAACCGGACTTCTACATACTAGAAGCAAATTAGTATTAACTAAAAAAAAACTATTCTTATCTAAAAAGGAATTGTGTATTTAAAAATTCTCTTTAATTAAAGTTCATATAAGCGTTAATTCATAATTTTTATTGTAAATATTTAAGTTAAACATTCACTCCGAACGTAGCACTTGGAAAAAGTATTATCCTGTTACTGAAAAAAAACTACTGCACTTCATTCATACGCATTTTTGAAGAGACAGTTATGGACGTTTGTCGTAAATAAACAAAAAAACACAAAATTTTGTGAATGAAAGAATGAAAAAAGATCTTCAAAGTGTGAGAATTTCGTTAGCCCGTGTCTCTAAAAGATTTTCCATAGTGTTCACGTCCTTGCACCAACCGTCCAGCCGCTGTACCATTCCAGCAATTTGTGTTCGATCTAAAACACGAGGTTGAACCCAGGTCATATTCACAGTTCCAGCGACTTGATCAATTGCACCTCGAACTAATCCCTGTGCCAGGGCCTTCATAACCAGGAGTTCGACTTCTCCAATTGGCAGACGAGTCTCTTGGGAGATTTCCGTAAATGTTAGTTGTCTGAAAAAACAATTTTTATGATTTAAAAATAACTTGCCAACAATCTTGCAAAGTTTGCAAAGTTTTCAAGATTTGCAATTTTGTTGATTTGTCAACAATTTGAAGAATTCTTCAAATTGGTAGGAATTTTATTAATTTTTTTTTGAGAATTATTACCGATTATTCGCCTGTCGTTTGAATGTCATTTCCATGAGGCACAAGAGGGAAATTTTTTGTCTTAATTTCAGTTCTTGAGCCGCGAGATCAGCAACTTTGCTCCATTGTGGTTTTAATTTCTCCAAGGCGGCAATATCGCCGGCATTAAATGCTTGGAGTAAGTCAACAAGCCAGGAATTCGCCGTATCCTTCAGCGATTCGAGAATTGGATGTGCCAATAGTTCGCCGAGATTGTAAACACCTTCTCCTAGAAGGGCGGCGAGACCTAAGAAAAATGCATGTTGCTCCTGTTCCGCCTTGCTCAAGGTATTCAACTCAATGCAACCTAAATATCTGTTAAAAGAAATTTGCCATTTTATTCAAATTTATTAACTCTATTATTATTATAGACAATAATTTTATCACTCGGTCGTTAAATTAGTCAAACGTCAAGAAGAAGTAAAAAAATCCCTGGTTAAGTCATTGTTTTCTAAAATTAAACAGAAATTTTTAATCCTTTTAATTAAAGATAATAATAACATAAACATAACCTTAAAATGATTTACTTCTTCGGAGCGCGTTTCAATTATTAATTAATTATCCTAATTATCAAAATTCGAAAAATTGGTTTTAAATACCTTAAGGCAGTTCGGTAATATTCTGCATGCTTCCCTTGTAATCGATAAAGGCGGCTAGCTAAAAGATAAAATCTTCCGTGAACCGAAGTTATTCCATCGGCATTATCGAGCATTGCTTCCACATCCTCAATGATTTTCTTCGCTCTATCTTGATCATTGAGAATATCGAGGAGAATTTGACCAGCAAGAACTTTACAAAGTGACAGTGCTTCATTATTACTTTTTACTTTTGCCTCCGTTTTCTCCAAAAAGGTTATTGCTTCCTGTTTATCTGGAAATTGCGCTATCACGTGAACTAGAATCTCAACGAGTGAAAGTGGATTGATCCTGAGAAGAATTGTCTATTATTACTAATTATTAAAAAATAGTTCCTGTGAATGTTTATAAATTTAAAATTCTTTCTTTTCGTTTCGTGAAACAGAAAAAAAAATGTTAAGTGATTAAAATAAGTGCAGGAACAAAAGGAACAAAAGTGAACAATAGGAGGAGAAATAGGTTATGTAGCTACATTAACAAAAACAGATAATTAAACAAAATTTTAGTTACTTACTTATTTTCGAAAGTCGATAGGAAATTATTATAAAGTTGCACCAAATTGTCTTCCTTCTGTAAAGCTGGATGCTTAACAAAAGTTTCTAATTTCAGCGTCAGCTGATGCCAAAGTCTGCAAGTCACCGGACCATTTAGAATTGTATTCTAATTTTTTCATTGAAATTCAAAATAAAAGGGATATTATTTTTGACAATTTACCGTTTATTGTAGAGCTCTTCCAATTGTCCCCATTCTGCAGCCAATTCCTTGTCTGAGACATTTTGTTTTTGACTTAAAAACGTGCCAACGTCTTTCGGTGATACTGTTACCGCCATGTTTTCAACAACACAACAACTCACAACTACACATTCAAGTGTATGAAGTGTATTCAACACAAGAACACATTCAACAACGAACAACCACGAAATTTTACGAAATTCACCGACGAATGTTGTTAAAAAAGAGCACCAACTATCGCTCAAAAGTGGAACTTCTTCATCATCAAAATTATGAAGATTTACAAGTCGGTAAAATCAGAGTATGCCGGTCAGACGGACAGTCGACCTCATTTGTTTGCTTTTAAAAATATCTACTAAATTTCGTTATTCACGGAAAAAAGCCAAATTTATCGTTATTGAGAATTAAATCAGACTCGACAGGACAATTTTAATTTACAAAAGAAATGGGCACCGTTCATGCAAAGGTAAATATCGTAAACATTGTACAGAAGTCACATTGTATAACCTCTCACTTTAGTTTCTTTTTAGTCATCAACGTAATTTCTAATAATACCTTGTTCGTTAATGGTTAAATCTTTAAATATCACACTATTTTTTCAATTATGATATTTTTTAAAACGTAATCTTGATAATTTAAATAGTAATCCAAATGTCTAAATAATTGCATAGAATAATTTCACTCATTTCATCATTCATTTTATTTTTTTCTCGAAACTTGGACAGAAATTAAATTTTACTTTACACTCTAATTTTTTCAGGAACCCACAAAAGAACAGAGTTTTAATTCAGATATAAAGAGGAAAAATTCAGCTAGTGAAGACGTATGTATCTCGTGAATTATTTTTGTAACTATTTGTTTTTTTATTTTATTTCTCACTTGTATTTGTATTTTTTTTCTTACTAATCTTTGTTTTAGATGTATTATAAGAAATCAAACTTTTCTCAAGAACCGACAAGTAATGAATTGAATTTATCTGATGTTAAGGTAAATTTTAAAAACTATTTTTTGGATGTGATGTATTAAAAAACAAAAATAATAGTTTGGAAATAATACAGGTTCGTGTTGATAAAGTGCACGTGGATGGACTTGTGAGGACGAAAGATGACATTGTTAAATTACAAGTGAAAGATCTTTTTAAAGCAAAAAATTTTGATGATGTTATTCTTCACACGTACAGTGTTCGAAAACGACTGGAAAATTTGGGATGTTTTAAAAATATCGACACGTTCATTGACACAAGTAAAGGACCAGATGCAACGCCCGATGGAATAGAAGTAACTTTTTTCATTTTGAAAACTAAAATACAACTTTTTGGTCAAATTAAAAAAAAAATGTCGAATTACAATTATTGGTATTAATTTAGAATCAATTATTAGGGTCATTCCAGCGAAAATCGTCTAGAGCTGGTTGCTCGATAATTTTAAAAAATTCTGTAATTAATATATAATATTCTTCAATACAATTAGATTATCCTTTAGTGGTTTATAGCACCAAATATATTTTACATTCTTTTAAATAATTATTTTAAATTTCTAACTGGTTATGAAGTCTAACATAACCCATTTTTCGAAAATTCAGTATAAATAACTAAAAACAGATTAAAAATACTGCTTTTTATTTTAAATATATATATTTTTGTTAAATACATTTAAATAAACGAAAATTATTTAAAAATAACTCACCAGAACATTTAAATAAGTATTTTTTTGTACTTGCACAGTATAATAAACATCATTTTCTTTTTCTTATATCTTCTGTGGAGAAAAAGGAATCTTCACGAAACCTTTTAAACTGGATTTGTTTTAAAATTATAAATTTATTTTAATTGAAATTTTTTTGGGACCTGTACTCATTAATTATTTAATAAATATGAAAAATTATATAAATTTAACCTGATTTTGATTAAATTTTTATTTTCATGACTAGACTGAAGTTCATCACCTTATCGTTTTTTTAAAGAAAACAAACTTCAGTCTAGTCATGAAAATAAAAATTTAATCAAAATCAGGTTAAATTTATAAAATTTTTCATATTTATTAAATAATTAATGAGTACAGGTCCCAAAAAAATTCCAATTTAAATAAATTTATAATTTTAAAACAAATCCAGTTTAAAAGGTTTCGTGAAGATTCCTTTTTCTCTACAGAAGATATAAGAAAAAGAAAATGATGTTTATTATACTGTGCAAGTACAAAAAAATACTGATTTAAATGTTCTGGTGAGTTATTTTTAAATAATTTTCGTTTATTTAGATGTATTTAACAAAAATATATATATTTAAAATAAAAAGCAGCATTTTTAATCTGTTTTTAGTTATTTATACTGAGTTTTTGAAAAATGGGTTATGTTAGACTTCATAACCAGTTAGAAATTTAAAATAATTATTTAAAAGAATGTAAAATATATTTTGTGCTATAAACCACTAAAGGATAATCTAATTGTATTGAAGAATATTATATATTAATTACAGCATTTTTTAAAATCATCGAGCAACCAGCTCTAGACGATTTTCGCTGGAATGACCCATTAATGAATTCCTAATTCGTAGGTCACATTCACAATCAAAGAACTGGGAAGAATTAGAGGTTCGGTGAACACATCAGTTGGAAATAATGAAGGTTCGGTGACAATTACCACCGAGACACCAAACATGTTCGGAAGAGGCGAACGCATAAATGCTCAATATTCCTACGGAACAAAATCGAATCAAATTAATATTTCCGCAATTAAACCATTTTTCGACAGTAGACACCAAAAAGTGTAAGAACAAACACTTACTTTGTATTTTTAATTGAAATTTCAAAAATAGAAAAATAATTTTCCCTTTTTTGTAGTTTGACAACAAGTATATTTAGAACTTCGAGTGATTTCCCATGGTCTGGATATAAATTAAGTAATATGGGATTTTTGGTGAACCTTGCATTGAGTCAGGGTAAACGCGACAATATAACACACAATTTTCAATACGAAGCTGACGTTCGAAATGTCACGGCATCAAAGCAAGCTGCCTTTCAAGTTCGCGAACAATGTGGTCCAACATTAAAATCATCAGTGAGACATATTTTTGCCATTGATAAACGAGACGCAACTCTATTTCCAACAAAAGGTTCACTTATTGAATTGACAACTGAATTTGCCGGCCTCGGAGGTAACATAGGATTTGTTAAGAATGAATTAAATCTACAAACCAATTGGACCCTCTTCAAGTACTTTGTGCGTTGAAATGAATATAAAAATCATATGTTTAAGATTAAATACTTCATCTATGAGGAAGTAATAATTATTCAATTAATTAGAATTTGTCATGTATTTGATTAATAATTGTACGAATATTTACAGACATTCCAATTGGGCGTTCAATCTGGATTTTTGCGGGGAATTAGTAATGATCTTCAAATAAATATAGTGGATCAATTTTTCCTCGGAGGACCCTTGAGTCTTCGGGGTTTCGAAATGAGAGGTTGTGGACCACAGAAAAGTGGTAATGCTGTCGGTGGAGATATCTACTGGGCGTCGGCATTACATTTGTATACACCACTTCCGTTTCGACCAAGTTTCGCCGAATTTATCAAACTCCACGGCTTTGTTAACGGAGGCAATTTAGACACACTATCACGTATTAAAACTGGTGAGTTCGGAAAATCGTCAATTTTCTTGGTTTTACATTTATTTTATTTTACTTTTATTTACAAGTTTGCCACAAAAATTTGATATTATTTTTCCCTGACTTTCTAATAGAATTTTCACTTTTTCTCTGACCATAAAGAATATTTTGATTCACTCTAAAAACAATTAGATACTCAAGAAAATGTTTTTGATACATTTATTTGTGAATATTTGCAAATATCAAAATTATCCAAAACGACAATAATTTCTGTTTATTATTTGTTAATAATTTAATATTCAGTCATTATTAATATTTTCCATAAAAATTCAATTTTCAAAAATTAAAAAATTCAGAACTTTTGAAATCCAAGAAATTTGTAACTTATTCAAAAATAATTTTCAAGATTTCAGTTCAATTACTTTATAAAATTTTTAACTAAAATTCTTTTCTAAATTAATTATTTTTCATAATTTTTTTTTGAAAATAATTTTCATCATTACAATTCAATTATTTTCTTAATGTTTTAACTAATTTTTTTTTCTTGAATAATTTTTCTTGAAAATTATTGGCAATATTACAATTCAATTATTTGTTACAATTATTAACTACAATTCTTTTCTAAATCAATTATTCTTAATAATTTTTCTCCAAAATTATTTTCTAGAATTTTTAACTTATATTCTTTTCTAAATCCATTATTTTTAATAATTTTTCTCCTTAATTATTTTCAAAATTTCAATTTAATTTCTTTCTAAATCAATTATTTTGTAGAATTTTTAAACAAAATTCTTTTCAAAATTAATTATTTTTAATAATTCTTCATCAAAATTATTGTCAAGATTTCAACTCAATTATTTTCTCAAATTTATGAATAACATTCTTCTTTTAATCAATTATTTTCAAAAAATTTTCTCAGAAATTATTTTCTATAATTTTTAACTTAAATTCTTTTCTAAATCAATTATTATAAATCATTTTTCTTAAAAATTATTTTTAATTCAATTATTTTCAAGATAACTCAATTATTTTCTCAAATTTGTAAATAAAATTATTTTCCAAATCAATTAATTTTGAAAAATTTTTCTCAAAAATTATTTTCTTGACGTTTTAACTTAAAAAATTCTTCTCTAAATCAATTATTTTAAATAATTTTTCTCAAAAAATATTTTTAATTCAATTATTTTTAATAATTTTTCTCCAAAATAATTTTCTAGAATTATTTATTAACTAAAATTCTTTTCTCCAATATTGTTTTTAAAAGTTCAATTCAATTTCTTTCTAAATCAATTATTTTGTAAAATCTTTAAATAAAATTCTTTTCAAGATTTTAATTCAATTCCTTTCTTAATCAGTCATTTTGTAGAATTTTCATAAAATTTCTTTTCTAAATCAATTATTTATAATAATTTTTCTCAAAAATTATTTTTAATTCAATTATGTTCAAGATTTCAATTAAATTATTTTCTTGACGTTTTAACTGAAATTCTTTTTTAAATCAATTTAATTATTTTTTGAGAAAGTTCTTTGAGAATTCAATTATTCAGAGAAAAACAGAATGTGCGACAAAAATAATTCTGAAAACCATATTTATGTTTGCATTTGAACTTTATACGAAATTACGATTATTTGCAAATTTTTTAATTAAATATTAAAAAATTCAACTAATTTCAAAAAAAAATTTAAATAAAAAGTTTTCAATAATTAACTTCTTTATAGTTTTGAATTACAATAAAATTTTTCTTAAATTTCAAATTGAAACCTTTTGTATTTTTTTGTATTTTTTTTATATGATAGTTTCTCAAAAAATTAATTATTTAAAATAAATTATTGCCAGAAATAGAAAAAATTGAAAGTTTTGTATTAAAAACGTGGTGATTTCTAAATTTACAGACAAACAAAAATAATTCAAGAATTTTTTCCGATTTCCCTGCCAATTTCCTAAATTCCCTGACTTGTGGCAACCCTAAATTAATTTAATTTGTCATTTATCAATTTACTTCCTTTGACAAAATTTAAATTATCTATTTTTTTAACAACAAATAATTTTATTCCCTATAGGCAGCGATTATGACGAGTACCTGAAAATATTTACGCAAAATGTCCGCTGTTCAATGGGTTGTGGTATCGCAATGGTTTTAGGGAACATTGCAAGGATAGAATTAAATGTAATTATGCCTCTTCTATTTTCCAGGAGTGATATCTTGACACAATTTCAATTTGGAATAGGTGTCAAGTATTTATAAATACAATGAAAATAGTATTTGTTCTTTTTTCATGCATAGTCCCTTATTATTATTATTGTCCTTTTCTACTAGTTTTCCCAATTAATAAAGTCTAGTCTTGTATACGCAAATTTTTATTATTTTGAAATAAAAAAAAATATATATTTCAATTTTTGTACAATAAAATGAAAATGCCCGCATTGTAGAGTATTTTTAAGAATAAAAGAAAAAAGAGGCCAATAATTATTTTACTTATCTCCAATTTTCAATTGAAATGTTTAAATCGTTTAAATACTAAAAGTATTTAAATTTTTGAATATTAAAAATTAAATATTAACTAATTTTAGTATTTAAATATTGAAAATTAAATATTAAATATGAACTATTTTTAATATTTAAATATTAAATATTAAAAATATTTAAATTAAATCAAAAGAAAGGGTTGAATGTATAATAGTGTTTTTTACCGGTGCGTTAATTAAGTTCATAAAAAGATATTGTGCATAATAGTAATTAATTATGTACTTGTAGAAAATAATTGCTAAAAAATGAAAATAGAAAAAAAAAGTTTATAAAAATTGATAGAAAAAGCATTTATAACAAAATTGTATAAAACTGTTATGCATAATGTTAAATAATAGAAAAAAGCTTGTATTCCAATTGTACATACAAATAGACGTTATTCTTGTGCAGAAATTAAAGTTGACTTCGTTATAAATTAAGAAATTGAATTTATTCATTCCTCTCTTTTTGGAAATTCTTTGACTCCATTTTTTTAAAATATAAATATATTTATTGCAATTATATTATTTTGTAAATTAAATTATTATTTATGTTTAAAATTATTTTTATTTGGAAATTTTAAATATTTACGTTTAAAATTATTTTTACTAGACATGTAAGTATTAATTAAATGTATAAAAATAAAAATTAAATTTAAATAATTAAGATTTTTAATTATTAAAAGGATAAGGAAAATAAATGAATTTTGAAAATTGGTAAATAAAGAGGGCACTGGCATCGAAATTTAAAAAGCTAACCTTAATTTTTCAACTGCCTATAAACAGTATTGCATGGCACACAGTAAGGTTTCTAACCGTTTGTGACAATAGTTATGTATTTACAACATTTACTACTAGTTTATTAGTTTTATTATTTGCACTATTTATTATAGACAATGTGTATATACTTTTAAAGACTCATCGACAATTGTAAATTGTAAATATATTTAAAAGAAAGCCTATATATAATATAGGAATGATTTTTTCGTCCACATCTTTTTGCGACAAGGAAAAAGAATATTTTTTATAAACAAAATTTACATGAATTAAAAGGTTTCGAGAAAACTTTAAGTTACTTTTAATTAACAGAAATATGAACGATCTAATAGATTTAAATAGTCCCGACACTAGTAAAGTGTTAAGAAGAGAACTCGCTTCTCCATTAATTCCAATACCTGCAGGAATAGAAAAAGATGATCTCACCTCTATTCCAAACGGTTTACCAAATTTACTGGCAGGTAAGATATTTTTTTAAATCTATATATTAAAATGTAAGAAGTAAAAAATAGTAAAAGTAAATAAATAGAATATTTTTTGCATAATTAAAGTGAAAATGAAAATAGAATTAGAGGTCAAAAGAACTTCGAAAGAGAAATGTAAATATATTCGAAAAATTAGAAACTAATAGTTAAATTTTTCTTCTAATTTTAAAACAAATTTTCAGATGAGAAACGAGACAATTTTGATAATAATCCCTTCGACAAAGTTTTACAAGAGACAACGGAATATGTTCGCAAAAAAGAAGATCCATTTGAATTGGTTTTGGAAAAAGTGAAAAGCAGTAAAAATTCAAAGCGTAATTCCATTGAATTCAAGGACGATTTTGTACCAAAACATGTAAAACACGCTAATGTTTTAAAATTAAACAAAACTCTCGATGATTCAGTATTAGACAATTCCTTCAATATTTATAATTTTGCTCTCGACAATAATCGTATTAATGAAAATTTATTTTCCCCCAACTTATTAAAGGGACAAAATGATGTTGAAAATGTACCGAAAATTTTCGTTGAACCAAGCAGTCCTCCATTAAATTCATCAGCTCTCAATTATTCCGCCATGAATGATTCGCTAATTGAATCGAATGTCAGTTTTAAGGAAAATGAAATTCGATCACTTGTAGCGAAGAGAGTTTCAATGTGCATTCAAAAGGGAATTATGGAAGCAGAAGGGAAGCTGGGCAATACAAATTTATTATCAAAATCAAGACGTTGTCATTCACAAGGCGATAGAAATTTAAATTCATCGTCAAAGAATTTAAATCACAAACAAAGATTTTGTTCAACGGGAAATATTAAGAATAAACTTTGCAATAGTGAGAGAAGTACATTATCAAGTATAGAATATGATGATCAAATGAATAAAGCATTTCTACAGGAACAATCGAGTATTGATAATTCTGTATTCACGGATATATCAAATATTTCCGAAATTACGAGATTAAATTCCATTTCCTCGGCTTATAATTCATCACTTTCCTTTCTGTCAAATGGAACGATGAATCAAGCATTTATGGAAAGTGGTTCAACATCGAATTCACAAATTCTACCGACCATCGTTAACGTTTCGAAAACTGTATGCAATGATATTTCTGATTTACGAAATAAATTCGAAACATTGAAATTAAAATTATCTCACAGTTGCAGTGATTTTGAGGATGTTAGGAAAGATATGGAGAATGCGGGAAATTCCAAGGAATTCACATTAAATGATGGTATAATAATTAAGGAGAAAATTAAGAATAAAAAAATTAACGATGAGGAGAAATTGATTGACGTTGAAGTTTTTATTCCCACAAATGAATCAAAGTCTTCCACAAGCAAGGATTCGATAACCGATACTTCTTCTGATTCTGTATTTACTGTAAGAATTTGTCTTTTGGAATTTAATTCCATTTTTTTGAGAATTAATTATTAAATTTTATTTTTTTCCTTTTTTGCAGAAAAGTAGTATGAATAAATCAATTTTGAGCGAAGCGAGAAAAATTGCAAAAACTTTCGAGGAAATGGCAGATACGGACAAATCAAATTGTAAGTATATTTTTTACACCAAATGTAAAACTAAATTAAACTAAATCTTTTAAAATAATTTTGAAATGCGAAGCTTAAAAATATAAAAGAAATAAAATTAAAAAAATTTTTTTTTTTAAATTATTAAAATAAAATTTAATATCTAATTTTTATTTTCACAGCCAGTGGATTTGATCTGCTATCCAACACGGAATTTAATTTTGATAATCTACCCGATTCGGATGAGGAGGTGGAGGCAGTTGAAATGAATCTCATAGATTTGCCAGTGTCGCCTTTAAAAACCGATGTGCCTGTAAATTCGTCAAATGAAGCAAACAATGAAAATAAAGAACTAAATGAAACGGCGAACGAAATGAAGAAAATAAAAGAAATAGAAAAAGAATTTACCCAATCTGAAGATTCGGATAGAAAGAAAATTGTCGTCACATCTCTTCTATTGGAACTCGAGAAATTAATTAAAACCGAAAAGAATCCGGATGCTGAGAAATTATTGAATGATCTTGAAAAAGTTTTGGGTGTCAAGTGGGAGAATAATGCCGATTTATTGAATGTTTATTTACAAAATGCAAAAAGTAATGCACAAACTGTTAGAGACGATATTCAAGGGGAAAATACAGAGATTGTTAATTTAGAAACGGAGGAAATTTCGGAAACGGAGAAAAATTTAGAAACTGAAGAAAATTTAGAAGCGAAAAGAAATTTAGAAACGGAGAAAAATGAGGAGAAAGATGAGGAAAATTTAGAAAATGGAAATTTAAAAACTGAGGAAATTAAAGAAAATGCTAAATGTGTTAAACAAGAAGAGAATAAATCGAGTGGACTCACTGTAAAGGACAGTCTCATGAGGAAATCTTCCTTTGTGATCAAGAAGGGCAAAAGCGATTTTATTAAATCGTTTTCAAAACGAATTGATTCACCTTTAAAGGTGAGAAATTTTTGAAAGTAGATAATAAACTTTTTTCATTTTGAAGCAGGAATTTATTTTTTTTCTAGATCAAAGGGCCAATTAGGAAAATAGTTTCTGAAAATTTGTCTCAAGATCAAGTGGTTAAAAAAACATCGCAATCACCTAAAGGGCGTGAACAGTCTCTAACTGCTGGTGCACGAAAAAAATTCTCGAGTGATCCTTGTGAGTTTAACTCATCTTTTGGAAGTCAATCGACTTCCTCGAGTGTACCGAATATGAAGAAGGCAATTTCCATCAAAGGTTTGTAAACTTTAAAGTATTTGGGTTTAAAATTTTAATCACATTTTTCTAAATTAAAATAATTATAAATAAAAATAAATAAAATAATTATAAATAAAAATAAATAAAATAAATTATAAATATAATTAAATAAAAATATCTATTAACAATTATTAATCATTTAACTATTAAATTATTTAATTAAATTAATTTTTTGAAAATAGAAGTCAGTGATAAAGTTGTGACAGTAACGGATGTAAAGAAAACGACACTTTCAAGTTCGACGAGTGCTTTGAAAAATAAATTCAAATGTAAATCTGAATCTGGAGTTTCTAAAAAAGGGCCAATGAAAGCTACGATACCTTTTGGAGGTTTGCAGAGAAGAGGTAAATTATCGCTTTTATTCGAATGAAATTCATATTATTTTATTTTATTCATATTCGTTTATAAATATTGCTTTCAATTATCAATTAATTACGCGCTCGAAACATGATATTCAATTTATTATTGTTATTATGCAAATTACAAAATTATTTATTTTTAAATACAAACTTTAATTTTTGAATACTTTCAAATTCAAAATTTTAAAAATTCATTTATTAAGTACACAATTAGTTATTATTGTTTATTATTTTCAAAATTTAATTAATAAAATTCTTCGCAAGACTTCAATTATTTTTTTATTTTTATTTATTTAGTTTTCTCTTATTTTTATAAATGAATAGATTTTTTTCTTCTTATTTTCTAGGTTCATTTGTTAAAAAAGTTTCCTCTCTATCTGAACTTGAAACATCTACAAGAACTTCACCAGAAAAATCATCTTCTCTTCATGTGCCTACAAGTACACCAAATTCGTCGATATCATCCCTTTTCAAAAAATCAAAATCAAAACCAGTTGCATCATCCACTCCGGACAGTAAGGAACAAAAAAATTCATTAAAACCCAAATCTCCTCAAGGTCGTAAACTTTCCTGCAATATTTCTCCTGTGTCACCATTTTTGAGACCGAATCACGAAAAATTGGTCTCCAAGGATAGTCCAAAAAGGTAAATAATTCATATTTTTAGCTCAGTCATTAATTTTCAAAAAAAAATATTTATTATGGTAAAAATAATTCGTTCAAAACTCAAGAATAATTTCTATTTCAAGATTTATTACTGTATGTAATTATATTAATTTTATTACGCATTTTTTTCTAGAAACGCATCATCTCCAAAAAGAGCAAGCACTCCGAAAGTTCAAAAATCTCCCAGAACACCTTCGGCAATTCCAAAATTTTCTTCACTCCCAACGTTACAAAGGAGGAAGTCAATGAACGATTTAAACAAATCAGGAAAATATTCCGAAGTTTCACGATTGTCTAGTTCATCGAATTTACAAAAAACTTTCGGCTCTGCAAATAAGTCTACAAGTGTACTTTCTAAAACTCCTTTGAGAAATAGCAACAAGATGGATTTAAAATGTAAAACTTTTAACTTAGTAAGTTTATCATATTCATGAAAAAAAATGTTGCAAAATTTTTCTTATTATTTTACATCTTTTCATTTACTTTACAGCTTTTTAAATTAAAATATTTTTTCAATTAAATGTTTCTTGATTATAAATAACAAAAATAAATTCATTTCCTTTTAATATTTTTCGTATAATAATTAATATTTTTTTGTAATTTCAGGTAAAATTGCCGAGACGCGGTGATGAGTACGTGGAAGCAGAAAAAGAAAATTTCTCCTAAGGTCTCTAGTTTTTTTTTAAATAAGTTTCATAAATACTAATTTCCTATTTTTGTAACAATAAAAACTTTACCGTTTATTTTTTATAATAACGCGAATCTCAATATACTTTAAATCAATAAATTTTCATGTTTTTTGTGAATAAATAAATAAATAACAAATAATACAGAAATATATGTTAATTTTTTCCTTTTCCCTCTTGAAAAGAATTAAATCGATTATTTTTCCACAGTGGGAAATTATTCCGATTGTCTGAATTGCATATATCAAATTAAATTTTAAAATACGCTCAAATTATTAATAATCATTCTTGTAAGAGAAAGAAGAAAATAAAAGAAATATTTACCCGAAAAAAAAGTAAATTTTAATTGCAACAAATCAGTGTGCATCGTTAAAAATTCATTAAAAAAAAACTATTATAAGCGCGCGCACAAACTACCAACAAAACAATTTCCTAGTTTGGCCTTCAGCGCCCTCAGAGCGCCACCTGCCCCGCAAAAATTTCATAGCCGCCGCCCGGTGCTCTTCAAGCTCTTTACTTTAATTAAAATTACTTTTCGAAAAGATAACGGACTCCATTTCACGTAAGTGCAATCGATTCTGTAATAATTTCTGAATCAAATAGTGTGTGCAATAATAAGTGCGCTTATATTTTTTGGAGTTGAATCTTTTACTGAAAGGGTCGTTATCGAGTGTCGCAACGAACGAACGAACGTCCCATCGCCTCTTGTTGAAAAAGAAAAAGCAAAAAGAAAAAACCGCACTTCAAGACTAAAGTGATTGTCGCCGCGCACATTATATTTAAGACAATTTATCGAGAATTGTTTCACTTTTTTTCACAAATATTTTCCCAGCGAGAAAATTCATTCTACTCTCTGTCTCTGTCTCTCTCTCTGCGAATACGTAAGATTGTGTTTGTATTTCTATTCATTTTACAACTGCAGGGACGTTTCGTGCTTTCCGGTGATTCAGATCTGTTTAGATAGACGCAGTAAAAATAAAATCGAGAAATTCTTTTTTAATTTGTACCAAAGTCGGAAAAAATTGACAACTTGAAGAACATTATCGGTTTAATTATTTAGAAGTAGAAAAAAAAGTCGCGGTTTTAACTGTAAATGTAGAATCTCCGCTGGTGTTGAAATCAGTAATGGTGAAAGTGAGATATTGTGCGTATGCACTGAGGCTTAAGGGCTGGAGAATTTGTGAAAAGAAATAAAGAAATAGCTAATAAACTCCGTTTCTTTATCTTGTATAATTTTACAATTTAAAACGTTTAAAATCAAGATAATTCGCGAATCATTTTTTTCTACATTGCTTAGTTATTTCGAAAAAGTAAAAAAATTTTCAAAATTTTCCAATTCTGAGAAGCTGTACCTTCTGGGTCATTTACATTTTCTGTTATATTTTATTTCGAAACTTACAAATGTAGGTTAAATTCTGAATGAATCAGTAAAAAGGAATTTATTTTTAATTTATTGAATTTTGCCGCCAAAATTGCGCCCGATTTTTGAAAGTTTATTTTTGCTTCTTTAATTCTTTTTTATTATTTTCGGTCTTTTCGGTGTAGGGAGAAATTTAAATAAAATTTATTGTAGAACGTACTCTTAGTAAAATAGGTAAAATAGGCATAAGGGCCAAAGGGGTAAAGCAGGTAAAATATAGTAATAAGGGAAAATTTCGCATTTATTGATCAAAATACAAATTGCATTCTCTTTTCTAAATAAATTACAATTTTTGACAGAAATAAAATATTAAATATTAAATAATTAAAATATAAAACGTTTTTCAAATATATAGGTGAAAAAATAAATTCGCCAGGGCGCGAATTATTGACTAATTAGAAAGTGACACCTCTTGGGAGTATAAAAAAAAGCTGCACTGGTTATGCAGCATAGGGTGGAGAATCATATCCTACATGAGGAGCAAATATTGGAAGCGATAGATCAATTGCGAAGACGAAAAGCACGTCCCGATGCTGACAGAATTTGTAATTATTTATTGCGAAAATTCTCAGTTGATGCACGTGATACAATTGCCGACCTTCATAAGTTGATAGAAGCGGAAAAAGTAATACAAGTTGATTATAAGGGAAATACAAGTTATCGTAATGCCTCAAAGTGGTCACGCCTTCAACTTTATAAAAACAGACCCGAGGGTTTTGTGAAGGATAAACTTAACTCGGCAATGGTCGCGGGCGCCGTTGCTGAATTAGTTGTTGAGGAACCAGATTATCTCGATCAGGGCGTGCCTGCATTTAGATTAGTTGAACAACTATTAGATGGAATATCAAATCCAACGTCACGACGAATGGTCGAAGATTTTCTCACTAAAGAAACGGCCAGTGGAAATTTAACGCGGCTCGCGAATGGAAATTACTCATTGGTCGCGACAACTGATATTCGACAAGAAACAAATATGGATAACGGCGGTGGCAGTGTCAAAAATAGTAAAGAAACAACAACAACAACTTCTTCTTCTTCATTAACAAGTCCTTATGATTTCGACGAAGCAGACGATATGACAATGCCCGATTCATTGTCAAATACACCGAGATCATCGAGACAGGCAAGTCCCAAGTCCGAGCAGGGTAAAAATAAAGATGATTATTACGAAATTATTGATAATTCAAATGGAAAAAAAGATGATCAACTTAGGGAGGAGAGGGAGAAAAAGGAGAAGACACCACAACCGAGTTCGTCATCAACTTCCGATGTTCAAGAGGAGCAAAAAATTGAGACACAAAGTAGTCCTAACCTCAAAAAAACGGGAAAAGTTGAGCGCAAGCAGAAATTGTGTGTAAGAACAGATGACTCAGCTGATATTGAAATTAAATATGACGAATATAGTAGAGATAAGATAAAGGATTATGGTGAAAAGGAGAGGAGAGATGATAATGGTCATCTTAGTGAGGATCGCGATGAGGAGGATGCGGGTCGAAGTTCCACTAATCCTTCGCCAACACCTTCGAATACAAATGCTGGAGCCTTTCGAAGTGCACGTAGAAAGGTGAGTTTTATGTTTTTATTACTGCTGAGTTGATTTATTTTTATTGTTGTTAATTAGCAAGTGTATGTCTTCATTTGTTTTCCTTTATTTATTATTGTGTTATTATCATTTGAATGCCTCTAATTGAAAATCGTCGGATTTGAAAAGTACTGAAAGTTGAAATCCATTCATCACAAAAATATACTATTCCCCTCAAATGGTACAAATCGATGCCAAATTAATTGGGAATTTTCAATTTTTAAACGAATTCGATTTTTAAATGAGTTTATATTTTGACGAGAGGCTCAAAGTGTCGAAAAGTTTAGTCTGGTATGAATTACATATAACTGGAAATTTGAACATAGATTAAACAATAAGAGTATTAAAACATTAAATTAAATATTAAAATATAAAAATAGTATTGAAAGATTAAAATATAAAAATTGTATTAATATTACTAAAAGTTTAAAATAGTATTAAAATATAAAAATAGTATTAAAATCGTATTTAGATTCTAAAATACTACTAAAATTTTTAAATTCCATATGTATAAAATTTAAATAAAGTTAAATATGTATTTCTAAATGCAAATATTATAAAAAAAATTAGATTTCAACTTTCATGAGTTTCTTTTGGTTACATTTTTAATTTCTTTGATTAATTTTCGCCTTTTAGCAGATTTTTACAATATTGTTTTATTTTTTTAAACTGTGAATACATTAACATAAATAATACACTTATATTTATTTTTGAACCTATTAATTGACTAATTTTTCTATTAATTTTATTAATTTAATGTATTAATTAGTAAATTTTTGTTAATTTAATTTTATTACTTTTAATTTCATTAATTTGATTTTTATCAGTTTTGCAGGGTTGCCACAGGGCAGGGAAATCAGGGAAAATTCAGGGAAAGTAGAATTGGTTAGGGATTTTTATTAAAGTACTGGAAAAAATAAAATTTTTGGAGAAGTTACAAATGATTACAGAAATTCAATTATTTTCAAAAGTAATAAAATTCTTCGCTAAAATTCAATTATTTTCATAAATAATAAAAATTTCACAGGAATTCAATTTTTTTTTCCAAAAAAATTTATTTAAAAATGAATTTTAGTTAAAATTTTAGATAATAATTGAATTTTGAAAATGTTTCAAATTGAAATCTTTGAAAATTTGAATTTTTCACAATTTTTACTGTTGAATTAATTTTTTTGAAAAAGTTTAATTCAATTTTTTTAAAAATTAATTCAAGTTTTTTGTTTCTAAATTTATAATTGAAGAATATCCGAATAATCGAAATTTTCTTAAAATTGAATTGTAAACAAATGGATTTGAAAATTCTCAAGCAACTTTTGCAAAATTTATTAAAAATAATTGATAATTAATTTCTTTTGAAGAACTTTAATAAAAATTTTTAAAATAATGCCATTTTTCGAAGAATTTACTTAAAATTGTATTAAAAATAATTGAAATCCTGTGAAGAATTTTATTTTTTAAGAAAATAATTGAATTCTTGGAAAGAATTTTTATTAATTTTTTTTAAATAATTGAAATCCCGTGTAGAATATTATTATTTACGAAAATAATTGAATTCTTTCAACGAATTTTATTACATTTTCTTTTAAGTAATTTTAATCCTGTGAATAATTTTATTATTTAGGAAAATAATTGCATTCTTATAACGAATTTTATTTCATTTTTTTAAATAATTGAATTCATGTGGAAATTTTATTACTTGTTAGAATAATTGAATTCTTGTGTTGAATTTTATTAAAATTTTTGTAAATAATTTAATTTTTTTGAAAAATGTTATGGAAATTTAAATTATTAGAAAACAGAGAGATATCGATTACTCCGAGTCGAAAACTCGGTGTGATCTATATCTTCCTGTTTTCTAAAAATATTCTTATAAGCTGTTGAATCTCGAAAAGATTTGAATTTGAAATTTTTTGAAAATCTTAATTCGTATGGAATAATAATGATGAAATATTTATTTAAAAAAGAATTTCAGTATTAATCTTTTCGAATAATTTTACAATATTAGAAAAATTCGTAAATAAATGTAATAGAAAATTTGAGTCTCTAATAATTTTTAGAGTGAATCAGATTATTCTTTTGAGGTCAGGGAAAAAGTAGAAAATTTTGTCTGGAAATCAGGGATAAATAAAATTAATTTTTTCTGGCAATCCTGTTTTAATTTTTTTTTTATTTTAATTTTCCATTTAAGTAGAAAATTAATTGACATATTGAAATTAGTTTGACAGCTCCATAAATTAATATTTTCAGCGTGCGAAGAAAGTATTCGATCCTTCAGACAATAATTTGGTTAAGAGAAAAAGAGGAAGGCAACCAGCGTCACAAAATAAAAGTATGACAACATCGCAAGATTCTCAAGAATCCCTTAAACCCATCGCGAAAGATGGACCCAACAGACAATGTAGTTTATGCTCGAAAGAAAAGCAGGAATCACTAATCGCGTGTCGTGATTGTACAGTGAGAGGTATGTATTATCAAATTCTCATTTTTGTATGAGAAAAATTAAATGATGCGTTTAGTTTCGATGAACACTTCTAATATTCAATATCCGACCTTTTAAATATGAGGCTTTCAGATTTTTCGAAATTTGTTTATGTAATGAAATTCTTTTTTAAAATCAGTCAATACGATTTTGTTTTTCTTTCAGCGCATCCGTCTTGTGTCTACACCTCCGACGTTTTGCACCATAAATCCGGGAGCAGTTGGCAGTGTGAACGATGCAAAAGTTGTGTCATCTGCTGTGAAACATCCGACGCAGTGAGTTTTATTATTAATTAAAAAATACAATGGATTTTTTAATCATGAATCAATTCTGGCTTTGTTTTCTTCAAACTAAAAATACACTATTTTTACAGGGACCCTTGATAAGTTGTTATAACTGTGACGATGCATATCACTCGTTCTGTCATTCACCAAGAATATCCATCAGCAAATCAAACTCAAAATGGAATTGTAATGACTGTACGCAAAAGAATTTCAAATCAACTCTAAGCCAAAGTATTGGTTTATTAACAAATCGTTCGGAATCTCCAAATACTGCAACTGTTCTACCGCCGGTTCTCAGTCCTCAAGTTTCTCCAAATCGTTCTTCGCCAAATCATCTGGAGGACGATATCTCTAGTGATGGTATCGATCCAAATATTCCTGATGCTTCCGACTGGACATCCGAGCAAGTCTATCAATATTTTGCCCGACTTTTTCCAAAGGAAGCAGAAATTTTTAGACACCAGGTAATTTTGAAAAAGATACTTTCATAGAACAGAATTTTTAATATTAAATTTTAATTAATCATTACGTGCATTACAGGCGTCGTACTCATCTACTAAAATCTACTATTTACTATACTTTTTACGATTTGCTATTTGCGATTTGCAATTTTTTTTACAAAATTTGGATAATTTGTATTTTTTAATATTTGCTACTAAAAGCTACTTTTTTCTTTTTTCTTTCGTGAGTTTTCACAACTTTAAAACCGCTAATTTTTGAAATGAAAAAAATTAATATTTATCTTCTTCGAAATAATCATAAATTCAGGAATCAACAATTTATCTTCTCAAATTCGCATATAAAAATTTTGTTACTAAATTTAACTTTATTAATCCAAATTAATCTAATCTAATCTTAGACGGTGCAAATTTCTCTCGATTTAAATTTTAAGCGTTGACAAAAAAAACTACAATTAATTAAAATGTTTCTAATACAATTGTGAATATTATTAGTTGTAAAATTATTCGTAGAATTAACAGCTTTTTTTCTAGATAAATATTCGATTATTATTCTTATTATTTTTTTTTATAGGAATTAGGATTTTAAAACATTTTTTAATTTCGAACCTTTTGAAATTAAATAATTTGTAAGAATTCCTTCTGTAACTTCTCCAAAATTATTCCCATGATTTCAAATCAATTATTTCTAGAACTTTTAATTAAAAATTTCCACTAAATCAATTATTATCTATATTAGTTTTTAATAATTTTTGAGAAATTTCTTTGAAATTTTACAAAATTTTGATTATTAATTTTAAGAAAATCCAAACAATAATTTTTAAAAACTAACTTCTTCGGAATTTTCAATTAAAATGATTTAAAATTTCAATTATAGAAGTAGACCTCTTTGAAATTCCATTATTTATAAAAATTTTTAACGCAACTCTTTTAAAATTCAACGATTTTTGGAATTTTTAAATAAAATTATTCGTTAAATATTTTATGAGTAATAAATTTATTCAAATTCTTCAAAAATGAAGTTTTCTTAAATAAATTCAATTTTATATTTTTCCAAGAATTAAAAAAAATTTAAGGTCTATGAAAATTCGTGGCGATTTTAAAGATTATAAAAGCAAACAAAAGAAATTCATGAAGAATTAAATCTTTTTAATATTTTCAAAGGTTGATGGATACAAAAATCCAGAATTTTCTTATAAATTCTATAGAAATTTAATATTTTTCAAGGAATTTTTGATAAAATTTTCCCGACTTTTCCCTCATTTCCCTGATCTGTGTCAGCCCTGACAAAAGTTATTAAAGTTTTAAATAATTTTATTGAAAATTTTGAATATAATTAAATTTTTGAAGAATTGCAGTTTTAATTTTTAGAAATATTTAAATTTCAATAGGTTTTACATTGAAATTATTAAAAATTTTAATTCTCGTGTGAAAAATAAATAAATTAAGAATGAATGTATAAATATTTATTTAACGAAAATTATTAAAGTTTTGAATTATTTTGTTCAGAAATTTAAGAAAATAATTGTATTTTTAAAGAATCGAAGTTGAAATTTTTAAAAATAATTAAATTTCAGAAGGATTTTAAATTAAAATTTTTGAAAATTTTAATTGTTGTAAAATCATAATAATATTTAAATATTCATAGTTTAAAAATTGTTAATTTGTTATTTTCCTAAAAAATTATAAAAATTTGGAATAATTTTATTCAAAAATAATTAATATCCAAAGATTTTACAATTAAAGTATTAAAAGTTTGATTTCTTGTGGAAAAAAAAATAACAATAAATTTAAATATTAATTTAATAAAAATTATTCAAGTTTTGAATAATAAAATTGAAAGAATAGGAAATTTTGTTATATATTTTAAAAAGTATAATTTTTTTTAATTTTAAAAATTATTTTTAAATCTAATCGTATTTTTTGAAGAATTTCAATTAAAAATTTGCGGAATAATTGAAATCTACAAAAATTTACTTTTTTTTATCCATTAAATTGACTAAAAGGAGTTTTTTAGTCGTAAAATTTAATTTTTTGATAGTTTCATTTTCACTGCTTCTTTTCACACTTCAAGATACTTTTTACTACTTTTTTTTTAATTAATTAACGAGTGCGACGCCTTTTATCGCATGATTACAAATGTGTCGATAAAGTAAATGTAAAAGTAAATATTTAACTCGAAGTGAATTTTATTTACAGGACATTGACGGCCATTCTCTTTTAATGATGAAGAGATCTGATGTATTAAATCGACTAGATCTACTTCTAGGTCCAGCGCTAAAAATTTACCGTCATGTTTTAAAACTCCAAGTTCGAAGGGATGATCCAAAACTTTACTGGCTATAAGTAAAGATAACAAATTTTTAGTTCAAATTATCTTTTAAAATTATATTTTTCTTGAATTAATTGTTTCTTAAATTGTTTTAACATTTCATTGTTTCTGCAATTTTAGTTTCAACAATTATTGTTATTACAATTCATTGTTTCTACAATTCAGTTTCAACAATTATTGTTTCCAAAAAAATCAAGTAAATTACTACGACAGTAATGAAACAATATTACTTGTTTTGTCTTTTACATAGTACTTTAAAGAGTATAATTAATATTTAAGTTTATTTAAAAAGATTATTTAAATAGTAAATTATGCTGATGAAAAAATAGTTTCTCCACGTCGAGTGTTATTATTCTACCATTTGAGTTTTAAGATTTATATAGTTATTATATGTATAAAGAAAAAATAGATTTACAAGTGTTAAACCGACTGGTTTTTTTATATACAAAAAAAAGTTATCTTGATCATGAATGAGTGAATAAATGATATTTATTATATATATTAGTATACATAAAAGTAAAAAATTTCTGCGAGAATTTATAATAAATAAAGAATAATAATAAAGAACGCAATAAATTATTTAATAACATTTCTTTTATTTTTCATAATCTTGTTTTACATTACCAAGAGAAATTCTCTTAGCAGACAAAATTTTTTTTGTTTCACTCTAGAAGGAATCAGACGCTTTGGTTTTTTTTTTAAAATGTTTTTTGAAGTCGTAAAACTTATAATAACGCACTGTGAGACTAACATTTTTCTAATATCTAAATATCACAAGACACGACTTTGAAAAACACATCTAATAGTAATAAAGACAAATACATAATTTATACTTATTTGTTTTTTTTTTCTTCTAAGTATATTATTTTTGAAAATGTGAAAAATAATTTTTGGTTCACATTATCGAATATTTTCTATAATTATTCGAGAGATTTTAAATAAAAATCACTTAACTCTAACTCTAAACAAAAAATTATAATCACCAATATTTGGGAAAAAAAATAAGAATTAATCTTGACAAAGCAAGATATTCACAATTTTTTTGTTTTCTTTTGAATAATATTTTCAATACTATTCAAAAAAAGTAATTACTTGAGCACAAGTTATTTTTTTCTAGGATTTGCTGTAAATGGAAAATTTTTTTGCATTCGTTGTACTATAATCACACGATCACTATAATGAGAAAATAAATACTAAATTTTAATTAAAAACAAATTCTCTATAGTCAATATTATCGATGAATATTTTTTTTTTTAATGTAAAAAAGCGAAAAAATGATTATCTCTCCCTGTTTTTTAAAATTCCTTAATACAAGCTCCTATAATAAAGCTTTTTTTTATAATATTCTTATATAAATACGTACATACATTTAGAGAAAATGTAGAATAATTTTAGGTTTAAAACATTGTATGTTTTTTTATTTTTAACGTTTCTTTGTTGACGTTTTTCTTAATGGTTTTTTAAAATGTTTTTTACTTTTTAGAACAAATTAATTTGAAGTATTAATTATTACATTTTGTAAGATATTTCTTTTTTTTGTAATAAATACGATATTTTGAATTTATCATTAATTAGCAAATATAAATTACTCTCGTATTTTAGAAAAGAATGAAAAAATATTTCTGAATAAAAAAAGAAAACATGTTGAGATTAGATTATTTTACTTTTAAGTTTATATCAAAACGATATAGGTTTTCTTTTATTAAAATGACATTCATCATCATAAAAATAATTGCCAATTTTCACTATCACTTTCACTACGCAGTGCATCAAATCTACATAAAATTGCTATCAAAAGACAAAAGAAAAAATTGCATGACGTAAAAATGGCATTTTTTTTTGGAATAATACACAGCTAGCTTACTAGATAAAACACAATGTAAACATCGGTTATTTTAATGTTAATTAAATTATGTAATTAATTAATTAGTTAGACAATTAAGTAGTTAATTAATTAGTCAATTAATTAATTAGGTAATTAATTAGTCAGACAATTAATTAGTTAGTAATTTAATTAATTAAATGATAATACCTTCTCATGTGATGAGATTAAAAGTATATGTAAAAATTCTGCCAAATTTTGTTTTCTACTTTATAACTATAGTCGAAGTTCTATTTCTTTGAATGTTTTTAATTTTTAACTCGAGTCATTAGAGACACAAACTTTTGACGCTCTAATTACTTTGATGACTGAAAGATTTTTCATCTGACTCGTAATTTTTTTTTTTTGTATATATTCATATATTTAAAATGTACCTGCATATTTATTTGTTTTTGTTGAAAATTTTGATTTCATGATAAATTGTTTTCTTTTTAGGAACAAGTTTAAAATGATTCTAAAGAAAATAAATTGGGTTTGATGAAGAAAAAAAAGTTAAACCTTTAAATCACTGTATTTGGGTGGTGGACTTTGGTAAAGAGGAGCCTCATCAGGAATATAGACCATCATTTTGCTCGGAAGATTTTGCTTTTCAGTGTCAGTCTCCTTGATGCCAATGTCAAAATCACTTTGCTCCTTGGGGAAGAGGCAGAGCCAGAGGATTGAGAGTGCAGCTCCACAAATTGCCGAACCCAATAGCCATCGGGGAATTCCAGTGTGACGAGATGCACATTGCAACCAATCGGAACCAGGAAGCGATGCGGATTGCTCGTTCTCTCCAGAATAGTCGGATGGAATTCCATAATCCACAGTCTATTCGATTTTTAAATATTGTTTATTAAATTAAAAATAAAAAAGTATTATTCAATAGTTTTAGTAATTGTAAAGTATTTAAAGTAAATTTTTAATTTATAATTTTTTTGGAGTAAAAAAAATACGATTATTTTTAACTATTAGCGAAGTTTAAAGTAATGAAAATTTAAAACGAAAAAAGTAAATTTTAGTGTCAAAAATCTAAAAATTATTTTTTAAATTAATTCTTCTTACCCCAGAGTCCATTGGGACTGTTTTCACAAAAGTTTGAGGCAATTTAAATCCATCAGAGTCCCACCAGCCGGGAAGTAATTCCTTTCTCAAACTTGGATCTGTCAAAATATCGGTTTCCGGTATTTCAGGTGACATGAGTAAAGCATTCGTGTCAATGCCGACATTTTCTTCAACGTAAACAGCCACGGAGAAAAGTGACAATAAATCCGAAATTCTTTGTTTCGCCATATAATTACAACCTGCTTTGCATGCATCACGATCCTGAGTTACTGTGTAAGCTTCCGAACACGCTGCAAATTCGAGCAGAAAATAATTTCAATGCAAAATTGTCTAATTAATTTCTAAAGATTTAAAAAATACCAAATTGAATATTGAAAATAAACTTACATGCTTCACAGGCCATAATTGCCGTTCCATTAAAACCTTCATTGATAAAACCTTGACTGAGATCGACTAAATTAAAAAACCTACAACCCCTTTGACAACACGATTTCATGTACTTCGTAGTATCCTGAAAATTGACACGTTATTAAAAAAAAATTGTCTATAAATTCGATAAACATGGAAAATACCAGAAATGGAAAATTTTACCAAAGCGAATGTAAAATAGTAATAAATTCATTATAATAAACCTACCTTCGTAATTGTTAGGGTTGTTATTTTCTCGCAAAGGTTAACACAAGGATCCTCACGATTCACCACGTTAAAAAACACATCGCCGAAGGTAAAATTTATAAAAATGAGAAATAATAGTAAAAAAGACTCCTTGAATTTTGTCATTTCAATTAATTCAGTTAATTCAGTAAGAAAGAATCGCAAGAATCTCTTCTTTTTTTTGTGTTGAAAAAAAACTGTGCAGTAAACAGTATATTGTGTGCAGTCCAGTTGTCGTCAGAGGAATAATCGAGAATATCGATTTAAAATGCACAGTTTTCATTGGTTCATTTAAAAACGTTGGGAAAAATGAACCAATAACGTGTCTTCTTGTACAGTAGTTTTTGATACGTGTGTCGTCTGCTGTGAATGACACATCCGATTGTTTACTACTCGTTATTAAAGTTAAAACTTATCAATAAACTCACCCTTTATAACAAAATTATTTTTCCGTATCTAAAATTAGAAATTCTTCAATTCGATTTTATCGATTTGTTTAGATTTTGTGTTGATTTCATGATTTCAACTTTCGAGATTATTCAAAGGAAAAAGTAGTTTTCTACCCTCATATTAATAATTACCCGATAAAGTTATTAATTATTTCGTATATATTCAAAGGTGTGAATAAGATAATTTTCGCCTGTCGAGAAATTCTCTCTTGAAAATTGATTATTATCGAACAAAGTATAGTCAGTTGACTTCATTCACTTTGACACGTGGTCCATTTAATTTTTGGACTTTTTAGAGCTTTTTTTAAAGGTTCAAGGTTATGTTAAATTTATAGATTAGATGCTATATAGACGTAAAAACACCTCTTATTTGAGATGTATTGCATTGTATAGTATAGTTTCTGTTGAAACAAATTGTGTATTTGTATCAGCAGCGAGAAAGTGGGGACTGATATAGCAAACATATTTTCAGGGCAGTTATGTTACAATTTACAATTATTTCAGTCTGACGCCCGTCGTCGTTGAACACTGTACGTGTCATTGCCTATCTGGCATTCGAGGTTCAGACTCACATTTCATCATCCTCTATCATATACAAACAGGTGAGTACACTTGTTTAAATATTAATAAAAGGGCATCGAAATACAACAACTAAAAATATAATTATTAAAATTAAGGAAAAAATACAGGAATTTTTTTTATTATCACACTTAATGTGAAAAATTACCACATTTTCCTTAATTACAACTCAACCACTTGAGTTTTTATCTCACTAATTTGTACGAAATAAAACCAAACCGGCAAATTTGTTCTAAACCGATTGGAAATTTGAGTTTCTATCTTTTTGTTCCATTCTGGACTTAATTTAACGCAATTAACATTTATTGATTTATTAAATATTTGCAGTATAGCTTGCGATTGAATAACGGAATTTTTTTCAATGAAACATATTATGTTATTGAACCTGTTTTTTGATATCTGTTTTGGTAACCACTTGCAAGTAAACTTTCAAAGTCTTTTCACAAAGAAGTCTCATATTTCCTTTTTAAAACAGGAAGAAATAAGGTACAATTAAAAAGCGACAAAATGAGGAAAACGAAACTGTAGATAATTTATATACACGTGTATTTTATCAACTTATTTATAAACTTATAAAATTAGAAAATTAAATAATAAAATCGCAATATAAAATGCTGGGGAAATTAAACTCGAAATTATGAACAATTCCACAATTACGTACAAAATTATTCTTATGGGTACTTTACGTCGTTTTTTTTTTATTGAAGTAAATTAATTTTTATGTAGATTTTATTTTTTATTATTTATTTTGTTTCGTTTATTCATTATTTATTTCATTATTCATTCATTTATTCACTATTTATTTTATTTACTTATTTATTACTTATTTTATTTCGTTTTTTATACGTAGTAAAAAAACCACAATTTTAATTATTTTCGATTTCATTTTATTTTTCTAAAAAATACAATTTTAATTATTTTCGTATTAATTTTAGTTCATACGTACAATGTTCGTATTCGAATATACAATTTTAATAATTATTTGCAAAGTTTGTTATTAAAATGCAATAAAACATGCCATTATCAATTATGTAACAATAAATTGTCATTTTAGAGGGAAATCTTGCTTAAAAACAATATTGCAATAAATATGCCAGTCATAGGTAAAAGATGATTTAACTGATTGAAATGGTTCAACAAATTGCATTAACAGATGTAACGGGAAATTAATTATAACGATATAGTACATAGTTAGATTATAATATTTAATTATTGAAAATGTCTCGTCATGCCTAATTCACAAAATAAATAGTACACAGTAATGATGATTTCTTTAATTTTTATGTTATTTCTTATAATTTTTTTTTACTTTTTTTATTTTATGAAAATTTTACGCGCTGGAATTATATTTTCAGTATTTTTGGAGGTGTTTTTTTTTTGGTAAACAAAGAAATTTTTCCAAACAGTGTAGTCTTTGTGATAAAAATATGAGGGTATTGCTCTGGGTGTGATATTTTCCATGCAGTGTGAATATTTAATGATGATAAAAGATTTTTTCATTTCCATATTTTATTGCACTTTTATCATTTTTTAATTGTCGCGTATAAATTACATTCTAATCGCATTCTAAGTGGTCTTTTTTTAGAAGATTTCTTTTTTAATTCTGTTTTTTCCTTTTTTCTCTTTTTTTATTGTCTTTTTATTATTTCTTTCTTATTTATTTTTTCTTTCCTTTTTCTTTATTTCTTTCTTTTCTTTTCTTTTTGTCCTTTTCTTTCTTTTCTTCTTTCTTTTTCAGTTTTTTTCCTATTGTCTCTTTTTTATTATTTCTTTCTTATTTATTTTTTCTTTCCTTTTTCTTTCTTTTCTTTTTGTCCTTTTCTTTCTTTTTTCAGTTTTTCTTTTTTTTCCTATTGTCTATTTTATTATTTCTTTCTTTCTTTTTTGTCCTTTTTCTTTCTTTTCTTTCCTTTTTATTTCTTTTTTCCCTTTTTTATTGATTTATTTCTTTTCTTCTTCATTTTTTTCTTTCTTTTCTTCTTCATCTTTTTCTTTGTTTTATTATTCCTTTCTTTTTATCACAAAATTATTTTTTATTGCACGTTGGAATTTTTTTCGATAAGTTAATTGACGACTCTTGTCAGTTTTGTTTTTGTAAATTAATGGAAAAATTGGAAAAGTGATAAGCAAAAAGCTTTTGTTATAATTAGACAAGTGTTAACAATGTAATCGAGTTGAGAAAAACAGAAAAATTCCTTGTTTTTTAAAAATTTCCACTAATTAATGTAAATTAATGTTAGTTTTTTTCAGTGGATTTTGTAATATTGTGAAATCTAATTCGAAAATATTTTTCAGCTGTAGAAATATGCCGTCTTACACTCAGGAAGGATTTGCAACAAAGGCGATTCATGCTGGTCAGGATCCTAAACAATGGAGTCATTGCTCAGTAATTCCTCCTCTTGTTATGTCGACAACTTTTCAACAGGATGGTCCAGCACAACATAGAGTCAGTTAAAATTGCAATTTAATTTCAAAACAAAATTTACAATGATTACAATTCTTTTTTTTTTAATTAATTAATTTTTTCTATTTTCCGAAAATTCTGAACGTTTAAATGAACGATTTTGAAACGTTGAAAAATTACAGAGTGGGATAAAAATTAATATTTGAAATTAAACACTCTGAAAATTTGTAATTAATAATTTTTTTAAATGTCGCAATAATATTCTAATTTTCAATTTGGAAAATAAATAAATTTTCGTTTAATTAACGCTCAGAACTTTAGGGGAATGTTTTTTATTTTAATTTTACTATATTGCAACGATATTAGTTTCAAAGGACAGATATGCACAAAGAAATATTCACGCCTTGTTAAGATAAAATATTAAATTAATATTCCTAGAAATCACCTGATGAAAAAATATATGAAAATTAGGTCAATATGTGGTTTTAATTTGTACCAATTGTAATCAATTTGCACAAATTTAAATGATGAGTTCTAATTAAATGATACGATGACTGTAAATATAATGAAGAAGAATAATTGCTTTTGTAACAATTAATCTATTTGATAAATTAATAATCTAATAATCAATAATCTAATAATTCTGAATCTAATAATAAATAGTCTAATGATCAGGTAATAATTTAATAATCAAACAAAATTAAAAATAATTCATGATGTTATAATTAATGCAAAAATTACTAGTCTAATAATTAATAATCTAATATTGAACTTTTCTTTGTAAAAAAAATTAAGGTTTTTCTATTTTAAAATTCACAGGGTTTTGAATACGGCAGAAGTGGAAATCCGACTCGAAATGTATTGGAGTCTTGTCTCGCAGCTGTTGAAAATGGAAAATATGGTCTTGTTTTTTCATCTGGTCTAGGGGCACTCACTGCCTTAACAGCAATGTTAGAAACTGGAGATCATCTTATTTGTGGAGACGATGTTTACGGCGGGACAAATCGTTTTTTACAGAAATGCATATCGGGGATAAAAGTTTCATTTGTCGATGCTTCCATTACTCAAAATGTTCTCAATGCCCTCAGGCCAAACACCAAGGTGATTAATTTAATCTTTTATGATGTCAATAAATTATTTACAAAATTCTTTTTAAACAAAAGAAAAATTTTTATTATCTTTGTTTTTTTAATTTTTTTTGCTTTTTTCGATTTCTTTCGATTTTATCTTGTAAAAAAATATGCTAAAACTGAAAAGAACTTCTCACGTAATGAGAATAAAGAAAAAACAATTAAAAAGGGGAAAAAAGGAAAAAAGGAGAAAAAAGAAAAAAAAATACAAAATTGATAAAATATATTGAAGAATGTAATTTTTTAATTTTTAGATGGTTTGGTTGGAGACTCCGACGAATCCATTGATGAAATTAGCTGATATCGAGGCGATATCAAAAGGAATTAAATCTATCAGATCGGACGTAATTTTAGTTGTTGATAATACATTTTTAACCTGTTACTTCCAGGTGTGTATCACAATATTTATCACTTTACTAAATAAATACTATTAATAAAAGGAATTCCAAAAGACAGAATGCTAAAAAAATAATCCGATAATAATAATAAAAAATAATTCAAGTCTTTTGGTAAATTGTTTTGTTCTTTTCTTCATCAATTAATTTTTCAAACTAAATTTAATATTTTTAGCGACCATTGGATCTTGGTGCTGATATTGTAATGTACTCTTTAACAAAATACATGAATGGACATTCAGATGTAATTATGGGAGCAGCTATTATTAAAAGAGAAGATTTGGAACAAAGATTACGCTTTATTCAAAATGGTGAGTTTTTTTGTTTGTTTTATATTTCCAATTTTATTCTAAATTAAATAAATAAAATTTTTAATTTCAATTTATATAAATTAAAATAATGTAATATTTAAATAAAATAAAATTTTTAAATTAGTAAAAACTAATAATGATTTATACCGTTGGGCTTTGTAATTTCAAAGAAATAAAAATTGAAAAATGAATTATTCGAAATAGTTTCTACTGGATAAATTATTTAATTACTGAATCAATTATTCCAGCGATGGGTATTGTTCCTTCACCATTTGATTGTGCTCAAGTGAATCGCAGTTTGAAAACTCTAGAAGTAAGAATGCAGCAACACATGAAAAATGGATTGGCAGTTGCTAAATTTTTGGAAAACCATCCTTTCGTGACTAAAGTTATTCATCCATGTAAGTTTATTTACTTTCTTATTTTTTTCTTATTTTAAATGTTCCTAAAGATCTGAACATTCAAATTAGGCGAAATTTATTTATCTCTTCTTGAAATTGAAATGTTATTACAAAAAAAAAAAAAAATACGTCACGTAAGGAAAAAAAATTCTACATCTTCTACCTGTAATTTAAGTTTCTAAATTTTACCAAAATTAATTTTTTAATTTTTCTAATTTTTCTAAATTTAAATAAATTTAGAAATAAATTTATTTTATTTAATTTCTAATTTTGATTGAAAATTATTTCGTTTATTTGAACGTTCAAAACTTGTGGTTTATTATTATAATCGTAAAAATAAGTCTTAAATTTATAATAAAAACGTCCAATTCTCAACGGTCATTCGGAGTGAAGGTAATAAAAAAAAAAATGTTTAAATAAATTAATTTTTTTTACGTTTCAATGGCACAGCTGTCCTCTTCAGAAACGTGAGAATTTACAAAAAGAGGTAAATAATTATGACAATTTAATAATATATCCAAAAATGTTTGCAGACCTTCCGTCGCATCCGCAGTATGAATTATCATTAAGACAAACAACTGGTCACAGTGGAATGATCTCATTTTATATTAAAGGTGATTCCCACAAGTTCTTGAAATCATTGAAACTTTTTATATTGGCAGAATCTTTGGGTGGCTTTGAATCTCTTGCTGAACTACCGTAAGTGTAAAATGATAATTTCCACTATTTATCTATATTTTTCTGTATTTATCCGTATTTTTTTATATTTATCTGCATTTTTCAATATTTATTTATATTTTTCTACATTTTTTAATTTTTATCAGTACCTATTTTTCCATATTTATTTATATTTATCCATATTTTTAAATATTTATCTGTATTTTTCCATATTTACTTATATTTATCTGTAGTTTTCTATATTTTTCTATATTTATTTATATTTATCTAAATTATACTTATATTTAAATTTCGAAAATGAATTTAAAAAATGAAAAATTGCTCTAGATCAATAATGACTCATGCATCAGTGCCAGATGATGAAAGGGAGAAATTGGGTATCACTGACCAGCTAATAAGGCTCTCAATTGGCCTTGAAACAGAAAATGATATAATCGCTGATCTTGAACAAGCACTGAAAGCTTCTCAATAATAACTAGAAAATTCCTTCAAATTGTATTAACTGCAGGCAGTATATACTACTTTTATTAATACTGCGCTTTTATCTCTTAAAGAACTTTTAAATTTCTCGATAGTGAAAAGAAATGTTTTTATACCTGAACAATTACAAAAGAAAAAATGCAGCCAACAGTTGCTTTTAATATTTAAATTACCTTTTTAAAAATGCAGTAAAAAAATAGAATTTTAACATAATTGTAAATTTGAATTTATATAAATGAAATGCAGTAAAAAGAATGAGTACAACTTTTGAAAGATGAGAATTGTGTGGAGATATTTTTATACTTTCCTTAGAAGAAAAAAGACAAAAAACCGAAAATTTAGCGATTTATTTCGTTAAATCTATTATCATTTTAATATCTTTATCTACGCTTTCCTTTTTTTTTTTTGATAATAGATGATAAAGTTTGATGCAAACATAATATCTCTAAAACTTTTAAATAAGTTATTTTATACCAATATATGATTTTTAATGTATAGATAAAAAAAATAGAATAAATTACACCTTTTTCTTCAATAATAATGAAACAGGAATATTTTATTTCAAAAGAAATCACATTTTCTCTTATTTTATGTGGTCACCTTTTCATACTGGTTTTGAAATACGATCGTATATAATCATTTTTTTCATCTTGATATACTTTTCTCCCATCTCATAAAACAAGTAATAAAAAAAACGACAAATTACATTTCAACAGAAATAGAAAATACTGTCTTTTAATGCATATCTAATTTGCTTAAAAATTTCATTGCTACAAGTTTGAAAACAGAAACGGAACATTAAATAATAAATTAAACATTAAATTAGAAAAAAAAATTGAAAGGCAAGAAGTTTGTTTCATTAAAATTAGACTTGAAAAAACATGTGTCTTTAAATTATGTCTTATATTATGTCATTTAAAAGCAATATTTATAGTGTCATTATTTAAAGTGTCATTTGCAATTTTAATTAATATTGTGCAATTCTGTTTGACTCGACAATTTCACTTTTGTAATAATATCAACGATAATAGTAATAATTAAAATAATAATTATTATTATAATAATAATAATTAAAATAAAAATAAAAATAGTAAACTAATAATAATAAAATTAATAATAATAAAAATAATAGGTAATAAAAAATAATAAAAATAATAATAGTAATGATAATAGAAATAATAATAATAATAGTAATAATAATATTAATAATAAATAATTAAATACGCTTTGATTTTAACATTATTCTCGGTCTATATAAACAATCTTACTTCTACTCGAATGTATTAAGCTCGTTATCTAATTATTATTGTAAATTGATTTTCGTGGATTTTTGAAGTCTTTGACTCGTGCTCTTTAATTTGTCATATTCTTGAGCTCGATTATATAACAAAACACCTGCAATTACTAAGGATGTGCCAAGTGCGGATAAGCCTGTCACTGGGTTGTTGAATAATAGGACCGATAGCCATATCAGGAAAGCTCTTTTTGCCGTGTTCGCCACACTATAAAAATAAGAAAAGAAAATTTTTCAGAAAATTATTCACAGTCTTTTTTTAAATAACTAAAATTCAATTTTTATATTTTTGGATAAAATTGAATTAATACAAATTTATTTCAATTTTAAGCAACAATTTTTTTTAACTATTAACAATTTTATTAATCAAAAATTGACATATTAATTTTATTAGCCAACAATTTCCATGATCATTTATTTTATTAATATTAATTTTGTTAACCATTAATTACTATTTTATTAACTAAAAATTGAATTACTAAATTTTTGAACCAATAATTGAATTACTAATTTTATGAACCAATATTTGAATTATTAATTTCATTAACAAATAATTTAATTATTAATTTTATTAAACAATAATTGCATTAATTCAATTTTATTATCCAATACTTGAATTACTAATTTTATGAACATTGGTTCAATAATTGAATTACTAATTTTATAAAGCAGTAATTGAATTTCTAATTTTATGAACCAATAATTGAATTACTATTTTTATGGACCAGTAATCGAATTATTAATTTTATAAATAAACTTTCTTCTTAAATATTTATAATAAATTTTGCAAAATTTACCTGTGAGTAACAGGACTTATATAGTCCATAAGAACATATGCCGTTATACTTTGAAAATGGAAGAAAATCCCGTTCAAAATGAACGCTGATAAGAGCCTTAAACTAAAGGTACTTTCGATATTTGCAAGATCAACGAGCAAAATTGACGCTGGAATTTGCACCACCACACTTGCCAAACTGGTGTAAAATTGTAGTTCCGCAGGCCTGCATAAAGAAAAAAATATTATTAATTAATATAATAATTATAATATAAATTTTAGTTGATGAAATTTACTATACGATTACAATAAACGATTTAGAAGAAATTTTTTTTTAATCTTTTGTATAAATAAATTTTTATACAGTTTCTTGATTTGTAATTTCTAAAAAAAAAATTTTTAATCAAAAAAATTTATAAATTTCCTTCTGGAAAATAATTTTTTCAATCATCAATTGAATAATTAATCGATCATAAACTTTATGAACTTCACCTATTTCAATTTTTTGAAAAGACAATTTGTAATAATAAATTACGAATAATAATAAATAATAAATTACGTACGTGTATTTAAAATTGTCACCACTAATTAACATCTTAGAATAAACATTTTGCAGACACTCAGTCAGATTGGTTGCCATTGCGGCTATAAAACCTCTGAGGTCAAAACTAATTTCGTTCAAAGAACATAGAGCTAATCCTCCCATGACAGGAATTAATGATAAATTGACATAGAGGCCAGTATGTTCGCCTGAAAGAAAAAAAATTAAATTAATAAATTAATAATATACCAATTATTCTACCAAAAATTACTCGCGAATTACAGCAGTCCATTTGTTATTAGTATGCAAATTACAAACTTTTTTAATTTTAAAAGACAATTTCAATTTTTGAATAATTTCAGTTTCAAAATTAAAAAAAAAATTTACTCATTAACTAATTGCATTAAAATTTTTTCAATAGAATTTTAGTAAAATTTCTCATAAGAATTAAATTTTTTCAAAGTATTTAAAAAAATTCTTCAAAACCTTTCAATTATTTTCAATAAAATATTAATTAAATTCCTCTGAAGAATTCAATTATTTTCAATAATTTCAGTAAAATTTTTCGCAAGAATATTTGAAATAAAATATTTTGAATAAAATTTGTAGAAACAATTTAATTATTTTCGAAATTTTTATAAAATTCTCCGAAAGAATTCAATTATTTTTATAATTAATGAAATTCTTCGCACAAAATTAAATTATTTTTTAATACAATTTACATAACATTTTTTTCGAAGAAATTCAATTATTTTTAAGAATCAAAAAATAAAAGTCTTGGAAACAATTAATTTATTTTATTTGAAATTTATTTATTTTTATTTATTTCATTTATTTTTTTTCTTTACTTAATCATTAATTTAATTATTAATTAATTATAAATTTTACTAAAGTTCTTTAAGAGAATTAAATGTATTTTAGATTCAAAATTAGAAAAGTTGTAACATTTCTTTAAAAAAAAAACATTTTTTGCTATTAAATAAAAATTCCCTTATTAACAAAACAATTTTGTTTAATTATTTTTTGTTAATTATTTAAGTTAATATTCAAAATTAGAAAATTAAATTAGAAATTTTAAATTATTAAATTCAAAATTTTAAAATCAAAAAGAAGAAAAATTATCAAAAAAATTAGGAAACAAAAAAGTAAACAAAAGCAGCTAACTTCATGCTGAACAGACATCCGTAATACATGACAATGATTATAAATATAAGGGGAAGAAATACCTTCTCTGGTTGTAAAAAAATTATAATTATTTTATAAAATACCTTCTCATGTGATAATGTAAAAATTCTTTAAAACCTAAGTAGTATTTATTTAGTAAAAATTATATTTACCTAATAGATATCTACTTATAAGTACGGTGAAAAGAGGAGCACTACTTTTTATTGTTTCGGTAAAGCTCACAGCTACATAATTTAAAGATACAAGTCCTAAAACCACTGTCATAAATCTCGTACAACCAACTAAAGTCATATGCCTGTAAAATCCAGGAGGCCTCATCAACCGAGAATTTGCTCGGTACATACCGCAAGGAAAGTACATCTGTATAAAGCCGCAAACTGCAGTCATCAACATTTGACACGCACCTTCAAAAATCAGGTTAGTATATCGTTATTCGTTAATTTCCCAGAGAATAAAACTTATACCATAAAAGAAGTTGTTGAAAAGTGTATCAAATTAATCTTAATTAATTATTTCTAATAATTCTTTGTGACGCGCTCGGAAAAAAGGTTCCTAAGAAGCAAACAATTTTAGGTTATGTTCGCAATTTTTGTAAATGAAAATAAACAAAGGGGATGGAATATTAATGCAAATAATCTGTATTTAAAGTCCCTTTACATCGAAAATATTCGATAAAAACTGATTTTACTTTTGTGAAATTCGCATCAGAAACTTTTAATTCAGGTAACAATGACAAAATCATAACCTTAAAATTGTTAGTTTCTCAGGTACATTTTTCGGAGAGTGGCACATTTAATTCTTCGAGTAATTATCTGAAATACAATTTATAATTCCAGATCACTAATTTGTGTTTATTTGAAATATAATTCATAAGGTAATTTATAAATAATTTATAAATTTTAGATCATAAATTTGTGTTTACTTAAAATATAATTTATAATCTCCAGATCATTAATTTGTGTTTAATCGAAATATAATTTATGACTTCAGATAATTCACTAATTTGTCATTCAATTTAAAAAAAGATAATTTAAAGTATTTTAAATACTAAATTACATTTTTAATTTATTCGCAGATCAAAAAATGCATAAATATTAAAGAGATAATTATACGTTCTTGTATATTGACCTTAATAGTTATTAGTACAACAGTTCTCCTATTTCTTAGAAATATTACACTTGTAAAACATTTTATTTATTTTTTAAACCTCTTTTTACAAACTAGACGATCTTGATTAAATATACAAATAAATTATATTTATATAAAAAGAAGCAATATTCAAAGTGTAAGTCAATTCTTTTTTTGCTAAAACACTTTATGATTTTATTATTAATTTCTAGCAAATGTTACGCAAATTATATTGCTAGGCAATAATAATAATATTATAACAATAATATTGGGCAAATTACAAAATTTTTTATTTTCAAATATAAATTTTTTAAATAATTTCGTAGTTAAAATTTTAAAAATTCACTTAGTAAGTACAAAATTAATTAGGTATTATTTTTCACATTTTCAAAAATTTTAAAATAACATTTCACGAAAAATTTTAATTATTTTCTAAAATTTTAATAAATTCTTCTAAACAATTCAATTATTTTTTTAAATAGTAAAATTCTTCGCAAGAATTCAATATTATTTTCAATTCAATTTTAATAAAATTCCTCGGAAGAATAAATTCAATTATTTAAAAATTTTTTAACACATTTCGAAAAAATGTAATTTTTTTCTAAAATTTTAATTGAATTCCTCGGATGAATTTAAATATTTTTAAATATTTCCATAAATTTCAATTATTTCCTAAAATTTTAATAAATTTCAATTATTTCCTAAAATTTTAATAAATTCTTCGAAACAATTCAACTATTCTTAGAAATAGTAAAATTCTTCGTAAGAATTCAATTATTTTCAATTCAATTTTATTAAAATTCTTCTTCATAAAATTTAATTGCTTTCAAAATTTTCAATTAAAATTATTAAATAAACTCCATTAGTTTAAAAAAAATTCATAGAAATTCTTCAAAAGAATTTAATTAGGATTTTTAAAAATTTTAATAAAATTCTTTGCGAGAATTCAGTTAATTTCCAAAATAATAAAATTCTTTGAAGGAATTCTATTATTATCAAATTTTTTGAGATAATTCTTTGCAACAATTCGATGATTTTCAATACATTAATTTTGCGAATACATCAAGAATTTGGTTTAGTTTTAATCAGTGTTTTAAAAAAGAAACAAGGTTGATAATAAACAAAAAATACGTTTTACTTAAAAATAATTTTTTTAGCTAAAAGTATAGTAAATCTTACCTAAAATCGTAGGGTCTCCCTTCATAAATGAAAGAATGTATTTGTTTAAAAAGAGGGTACAACCACTGAAGACGTACCATAGTATTAAAAATAATAATGCTCTAGGGTTTGCTAAACCACCTTTATTATCAGACGTTAAAATCAATTCTTCCCTTTTTTTATGTTCCAAATGATGTTTATTGTGATTCTCCGAAATTAATAATTCTTCACTATCTAATGGTAAATATGTTGTATTCGCACATGCCGAATGATTTTCCATGACCTCTTTCTGTCAAATTTGAAATAATTCACAAAATACGATGTTTCACTGTGTATTGACGTTAAAAAATAACGTCGATTTTTGCTCATGCCGATGCAAATAAAATTTATCGTATAGTTTTTATATTAACTTGAAAATTCATATTATTGAAACGTGTCTCTTCTTTCGAGGTTATGTCTGATATAACCTAATATCAATAAGTGATTTTTTTTTATCTTTTTTATCCTTCTATTTATCAATTCAGTTTCTGTGTGACTGAAAAAGTTTCCTTCACTATTTGATAGCATATTTTTCTTTTATTTATTTGGTCATTTTTATGTTCCACTAATGTAGATATTTATGACAGTTCGGAAAAGTAGCACAAATTCCGTGTTGTTTAAAAACAAAGCCGAAATATTAAGAATAATAAAACACAATTTGTAAAAAATTTTATGCCGGGAATGTTATAAAATTTAGTTATCAACTATATATTACATATACAGTGAAAAGTAAAAATTATACAAAACGTATGTTGTGTTTGTGTTTTAGTTATATAATGAGAACATGTTTCGACGTTTGGAGGCAGCACTTTATGGAGACGAATAGACGATTCGATGGATTCGATGGCTTTTTCGAAAGGTAAGAAAGAATTCGATTTTTTGAAAGAAATTTAAAAAGAAATTTAAAATAAGACATTTATTTTGAAAATATATTTTTCGATTTACATTTTTAATATTAAAATAATATCACATAAATATTATATCGCATTGTTAAAAATATAATTTCTTTCTCTGAAGGCACCGGAATTTAATTATTCAAATAACAGATTTTTTAATTAAAAATTATGAAGAAAACTGATTGATATGAACTTTATAAACTTTATATCCTCTATATCAATGTTTTGTAAATAATTATATATTTTTTCGTTAGTAATTGTTAATTTATTAGTTTGTTTAGTTAATAATTAACTAAAATTCTGTAGAGTAGTTTTTCTTCTTTTCGGATTTTTTCATTTGTGTTGCAGAACAAGTCTTCTTAAAATCTTTATAAGCTAAAATAGCGACATTTCGTCCTCCAATTGCGCTCATTTCCATTGCACTCGCAGCCCATTCAATTGCATTAACATGATACAGGCCCTTGTGAAGTTTAAATTTATCCAAACGATTTTCCGTCGAATAATGCGGATATGCTTTCCAAATAATCTTCTTTACTTGCCCAACCTTAAAAAATATTATTACTATTAATTATTAATTATTAAATTTAGGTTGAAATATCAATAAGTATTCAATTTAATAAATTTCAATAAATAATTTATTTACTTAATTTATTTTCGATTAGTTTAAATTTCACTAATGAAATAATTAATTTCGTGTCTCATTTCAATAATATTTCTCAAAATCATTTTTTGCTAACCTTGGAGAGGATTTTATTGACAAATTTCGGATTCATAGATTCTCTGGTGAATATTTTCCAAATGTCGGACGAGCCTTTCTCTCCATTATCATTAACAGAATTAACTTTTCCAATTGAACTGACAATTGTTTTATTGGGATTACAACTCAAAATACAGTCGATTTCACTCTCTAGGCCAAAATGTAGTGGATTTAGTTTTCCTTCAACGAAAGTGGCAATTGTTGTTTGGTATTTGCCAGGAACTGTAAATATTCCTTCTTCGGGAAATTCTTCAAATTCTATTGAATTTTCTTGATCGTTTGTCAAAGGCCTGGCGATTATAACAATATCATAGACGTCAGTGATAATATTTGTATCGTCTGCAAGAAATACGTAATTAAAAATCAAACTTGATTTGAAAAATTAAAGTAATTATGCGGATTTTTACCTTCTTTTTTATAGGATAATTCGTATTCGATTGAATCTTGATCTTTTAAAATCAAACGTATTTTTTCTACTTCTGATTGAATTATTTTTACACGATTGTTTTGACGTATTAAATTCTCAGGTACCTTAAATAAAATTAGGATTAAAATTAAAAGTAACAGTAAAAGTAAAATTAAAAGTAAAATTAAAACCAAAATTCTTGAATTAAAATTCAAGACAGAATTAAAATTGTGTAAATTGTATTCAATTAAAATTGTTTCGTCAAATTAATGTAAAATATTTACCAGTTTGTTTCCTCCTTTAACAGACCAAAGATTCGCTCCCATTCCGGCTAATGAAACAAAACCAACAAAACTGTGAACATTAGTTTCTTGTCCGTAATTCACAACTAAAGTGGCTTGCACTAATTCATCAATTAATTTTTCTGAAATGCCCTTGTTTAGCAAATGATTTTTAATAGTTTCAGTTAAATATCCAGGAAAATCAGCGTTCATTGCTGCTAGTAATGAAGTTACATTTTCAAATGCTATCTCATTGTCCTGAAGTTTATAAATTTTATCGAAATTGTCCAAAACCCAGGTAACGAGCCTGAAAGGAAGAATCATTAAAATTTTTCAATAGTTTTTCGTTTTTTTTCTTCTATTTATTCTTTTTATTCTTTTTAATATACCTATCGAGCGTAAAAGGTTCAAATCCATATCTATAAATCAACTTTGCAATTGATATCAATTTCCAACTACTAAGTTTCACAACAAATTTGTCTCCATTCCAAATTCCCAATGTTGACGAATCCTCATGATTGTTTTTCTTCAGGTCTAGAAAAATTCATATGATTCAGTATAATCTTGTTATGATATTTATTATTTTTTTAAAATAAAATACAATAGAGACTTCATTATTCGGATAATCGAAAAAAGTACGAAATAAACGTTTAGTTAAAATATTTCAAAAGATTTACATAAACATTTTCTTAAAATTATTAAAATACATAAAAACGCAAAGTTTTGTGTGAAAATTCAAAATTCACTGTTTATATTAGAATTGAGTCTCGATAATTAAACTTTCGAGAAATAAAATTTCTCAATTTTGTTCTGCGGTCCCTTGAAATATTTTTCATATTTAAAACATTCGATAAATGAAATTTGAATTGAGATCCTTGAGATTCAATTTATCCAGAGTCGACTGTAATATTTATTTTACAAATTGCCAAAAATAAATAAATATATACAATTACCAAGAAGTTTAACGAAATCTTGCATGTATTTGTTCTTTGGATGTATTACTGCACCGCCAGCTTCAAATTCATTTCCTCCAATTTCGACGTTCGCCAATCGTCCTCCCAATTGTTTTTTCTCAAAAAGGTCAATTTTCAAATTATCCTTGAATAAATCTGAAAGAAAATGGGACGCAGATGCTCCTCCAATTCCGCCCCCAATAATAGCTGTTGAAATTAATAATCTTTTAAGTAAATTAAAAATTCTTACCTATTTCTAAATTGATTAATTTTAATTTTGAATAATTTTTAATAATTTTTAAACAAAATTTCCTTTTAATTTTGATAAAACGTATCACTAAACAAAATATGTATTACCTGTGATAAATACGATACGTACCTACTTTTGGTTTGCAAAGTTCAGTGCAAAAACTGCATTTAAAAATTAATAAACCAAAAATTAATATTTTAGGCTGAAACATGTTAATTATGTTATTGATCATGTTTAATTTTTAAATTTCTATTTGATAAATATAACCTCGAATTTTAGTGCTATATGTACACTCAAGTTGGAATATAATATTACTAATTTAAAATTCGAAACATTTAGCTATTTTTATACTTGACTTTGTTAGCAAATTGTCCATAAAATAATTTATCTATTGTTTTCATTTGTTTTATCACTTAGAGATATGTAATTTTTAAAAAAACATTGTCATAATTTTTTTACTTTGTTATTGTCACGAAGTGTTATTGTATACATTAGTCACTTAAAACTGTTTTAACTACTGCGAATTGCTGTAGTTAAGGAAGTAAACTACAGTTTCGAGAAAGAAAATGTAGAAACTATAACTAGTTTTTTAACAAATATTTTTTTATTAAAAAAAAATAAAAAAAAGGTAATTCAATTTTTTCACTCATATTTCAATAATTGAATAACCAATGTTAATCGATATTTAAAAAAATTATTATTAATATAAAGATTTATTTGTTCATTTAAATTAGATTTTTTATTTATTATTTTAACATTTCTTTTTGTAATTAACACTTTTTTTTGATATTAGAATTTTTTGCTACTACCTTTTTTTCTGGTAACATTTATTTGCTATTAATTAATTATTAATTGCTATTATTTTTTAATTACAATAAGAAATGTTGCGATATTTTTTTCTAATTAAAGAAAAAATTCTTAAATTATTAAAAAAACGTGCATTATAATTTGTTTACTTAAATCAGCACCTTTATAAATATTTTATACGATTAAACTCTACTCACATGGTCAGTTTGATAATGACTTGTTTATTTGATATGATTCGTGACGATTTATTTCACTTTATTTGAACTATATTCACCAATATACATTCAATTTTAAATCTTCAACAAAATGCATTTGTTCTCATTAAGTTTATGTGACACTTAATTCGCCAGTACTACTGGCGAATTAAGTGTCACATAAACTGGGCCCCAGTAGCTGATTTGTTTCTTTGATATTTATTCAATAATCGTTACTCTAGGGGTCATCCATAAACTACGAGCCCCTTTTTTGGAAATCCCCCCCCCCCCCCTTCTTAAAGTACTATACATTATGAACGACCCTTCATATATTAAACAAATTTAAAAAACAATTGCAAGTCCGTGTGTGTGTCGAATAAAAATTATTTTGTAAAATAAATATTGAAGGTTGCAAAATTAACAACAATTGAACTATTTGTTGAAACTTACATCGTTTTATTTACGATATTATTGTTGTGTGACAATAATAAACTTTGATATTTCAATTAGAATTTATTTCATTAAATCTTGCATACAAAGAGTTCACATAATTCTTCTTATAAAAAGGTAAAAAAACATTTTGATATAAATATATAGATAAATGTAGATCATTCAATATTTTCATTCAAATAATTTTACGTGAAAAACTATTTTAGATATTAATAGAAATTGTTTTTTTTATTTATTTATTATCAGATTAAAATATAACCTTGTATATTGTATGTGAAATTTACTGGTCTTTTATTCTTGAATTTTTTACATTTCGCGAATGAAATAAATCTGAAAAGTGATCTTTTTCATATAGAAATTGGGACTTTAAAATTATTTTCGGTTTTACAGACAGAAAATACTGACAAAGTGTTATTTTTACACGGAATTTGGTGTTAAAATAAAAGAAAATATTAAGTTGGCATAACTGAATAGTGGCTAAGTTCACACGCTAGTACTGCAGGTGGCGCCACTATATCGTGACTAATTTCACACGTGAGAAATTTAACCCTTGTATAGATGGCGTCAGTATGTAGTTGCTAACTTCACTCGCAATAAAAATTGCAACCGTTTGCTTCGTGTTATATTTTTTCGTCACTAAAATTACTTATTATTGAGTTATAAATCTTAAATCAGTGTTTGAAAATTACTCGAAAAGTAGAAACAGAAATAATACACCGATGGAATAACATCCTAGTTTTCGGCAGGATCAAAAAAAGTGCGTGTATAGAAAATAGTGTTCACCGTGTTTGCAAGTGCAATAAGCAGTGTGTGATAATTTCCTTCCACTAACCGTTAAAACGTTTAGAAAACATGTGACTATTTTTGCTTTGAATATTAGTCCCGATTGAATACAGTGTCAAAATAATTTACTCAAATCAGTGTCAATTATACCGATGTGACATGTTCTAGAAGAAGGAGAGGGGGTATCATTATTTGTTTCTAATATTGCATAAGTGCGCTATCAGTGTCTGCAACTGTTACTGCATACGGAGAAGAATACGAACTTGTGCCATGAGTCTGAGGGTTAGAACTTGGTGGTATGGGAAGAGAAGGCAAAGTGGGAGAATTCGCAAACCGCAGAATTATATGGTCTTTAGCGGGGTTGAGGGAGACGAAAAACAAAGACAAAGAAAGAAAAAGAGTAAAACCTGAGGAGTGTGTTTGTGAGAGAGAAAGATAGAGTGAAGTCTATATATGAGATTATGGTCGGGACTACTCGGGAGACTAAAGGATCTAGACAGAGATAGACTTCATCAGTTCGCGGAGGGTGACGGTGCGGGGGTGGAAGAAGGGGGACGGTCCAGAGAGAGGGAAAAGCATCGTGCTTTTGAAAAAGTTTTATCTTGTGCGCGCTCGGCCCGCAGTTACCGAACGCCGGTTTGTACACGCAGACAGTGCAAAACTGTTGTCTTCACGATCGTGTCCGGTTCTTTGGTTGCAAAACCAGATCTCGAACGGCGAGTTGCAGAAATTGTCGCATGTGGGAGATCACGTTTGATGATGACTCCAGGGTGTAGCTTCTAAATTATTTATACTATAATAAACAATTTTTTTTTTCGTGATTAGTTTATTAAAATTCGGGACTAAGTTATCAATTTATAGAAGACAAGAAAAAGTGAGTCAAATTTAGGGAAAGAAAAACTGTGAGAATTTAGAAGAAGTGAATTTTTCGGTCTCGTCCACAGGATGAGGGGGAGTCTGTTATTATGGAATGGTTTTCTACTTCTAATTATTGGAATCGCATCTGTCACCAGTTTAGAGGTTTGTTTTTCATTTCTTTTTTAATTATTGTCGCTAATTTTCGCCATTGTTGACAAAAATGAAAAATGGTAAAAGTAGTAGAACTATTTTTTTGACACTGAATCCGAAAATTGATATACTTATTCATAACGTTTAAAACTTTAAATATTTTAAAGTAACTGTTTTTTATAACCTAAAATATTGTAAAATAGACTGAGAACTTTTATTTTTCTGTTTTTTTTCAGGATAAATTAATTAAAAGTAATTCAAAGCAGATCAATATAATGGTCGTTAGTTGATTAACGAAATTAAGGTTAAATTAATTTTCGAATTGCTTTGTCGCCATTTGATTGTTGGAAAAATGCTTTCCAAATGTTTTGTTCCAAAAAAAATGTGCGAATCGTGTTGTTTTAAATAATTATCGTTTTATAAAACAATTAATTCGTGCGTTGCAATAGAATACCAAATCTCTTTTTGTAAAATAATGAATGTGTACATATTTATAGACAAGTATCGAGAATGCTTATCTGAATCGTTAAATCGTGCGATAGTGAAACATTGCTATTGATATAGTAAACTTTGATTCCGATTAGTTATACACGTTTTAGATATTTGTCTTCCTACAACAATTTTATTACCTTCATTACTGAGACATTTCATACTTGAAAACTATTTCATCTCGATAGAATTCGGTGATTTATTAAATTTATTACAATTTACAAAGTATAAATAAATTTTCGGTTTACAAATTAAATATTTTCCTTATCAGTAGATTTTATCTCTTTCTTTTTACTAAATATTCCAAATATAGGTTAGGTTCTTTTTCTTCAGTTTCAATTCAGCCAATTTTTTTTCCTTTAACCAAATAAAATTATTTAAATAAATAAATAAAAATAATTCAAAAGTCAATAAATAAAAATAACTAAAAATAAAAATGAGTATATCTTTGTTTTATTAAAAAATTCACGTCGGGAATGGTCAGAACGTTTATAATAAAACGAAAAATTACTTTTTTCAGTTTTCTTTTCTTTCAATTTTTTTTTTCGAGAATTTAATTGTGAAGCTATTTTGAAACACAAAACTTTTTTTTCTTTTTTAAATTAATATTTTATTCTTTCTAAATAATTTTTTTTTTAATTCTACACTTGTTGGGGGAGAATGTAAACACGGATAAGAAGCAATAATTTTATAATTTATTGAATTAAAATTTAATGAAATTAGAAAAATTCCAGCAATTCCACTATAAAGTGTGTGCGGCGTTTACACCGCGAGTAGTTAATGACTTTATTAGCAGCTGCAACCATGATGCAGTTTTGCATGTACATATCAGTTTACAAGTATAAACGACCTGAACATTCTTGACATAATCGCAATGAGTAACGCCCTCGATTAACACCATCGATCAATTAAAGGGATTATACTTAACTTAAACTGTTACAAGTTTTCTTCTTCCTTTTTCTCATATAATAACTTACATACATATTCTTTGCTCTCTCAAAAAAAGGAGAAAAGCAAAAATAAAATAAAGCCCAAAAAACTAACACGTGCACGAGCAGACCGTCAATTACGATGAGAATACAAAATTATAGTTATTACGCTCACGACAGCAGTCTTGACTTTAATTTCTGAAAAACCTTATCTCAAATATTAATTCTTTTACTTTCGTGTTATTGATTCATTTACATGTATTATGTAATTATCATTTATAGAATCAATTATACTATTATTTATACTATCATTATTACTATCATAAATCTGAAAAAAAAAATTATTTGATTCAAATAACCGATTATTTGTCTATTATTAAATAAATATTTACATGATTCAAATAAATCATATATTTGAACTAATAATTTCACTACTTATTATTTAAAGCAAATACAATCAAATTGACATAAAAATTGTTTGATACTTGCGTAAATATTTATTTAATAATAGACAAGTAATCGTTTATTTGAATGAAATAATTTTTTTTCAGTGTATATGTAATAAACAATAAATATCATTAATATTATTATATCACTTTTTAAATGGCAATTATTGATTTCAGTATTTTTCGTGACTTTTAATCTTTAGCATTGAAAAAAAAGGATTTGTTCTCAATAATTGTGAATATTTTTAGAAATGGTGTAAAATAATATCTGATTTAGAACTTGAGGGGGTTATCTTTATTAGTATTATTAATAAATATTAGCCACTGAAATTTTATAAATAAAATAAAATTATTTGATAAATAAATATTTATTTGATGATAGAATATTAAAAAAAATCTGAACGTTCAAAGGAAAGAAATATTTATCGCTGTATATATTTTTTGAAAAAATATTAACTGTCTAAAAAATAAAAAACGTAAATAAAAAATTTTAAAACTAAAAATTAATTTTTAATACATGAAACAATATTATTGTAATAAAATTTGAATTTAAAGAGGAATTAGATATAAATAATTTAATTAATTTGAAAGTTTAGAGCTTTAGGGACATGATAATAGACAAGTATAGTCGTTTATTTGAATCAAATAAATTTTTTTTTAAATAGTTGGATTAGACAAAGAAACAAAAATTTATCAAATAAATTTTTATTCAGTATAATTTACTCAACAAAAATAAAAGTTTCGAATGTTCAAATAAATAATAAAGAAATTTATTTGATTCAAATAAACATAGATTTTTTTAAATAAATTTTTGCCTCAGAAGAAAGAATTTAATCACCTGAAGCAAATTTTTATAATATATACAGTTAAACTAATAAATGTTTAAAAAAAATTTATTAATTTTCTTCTCTTTTTTCTGAATGTTGATTTAACAAATTTGGCGATTTCTTTCACAGTTATTCATATATATGCGATGACATTGTTTCAAAAATAATCATATTTTATTAAAATGTTTCCTTAATTTTTTTTTCAAATGTGGGTTATCAATCGAGAAATGAACCGTAAATTCATTATATACTTTTTGATGATTTCATCAGAACAGTATATATAGTCATATCTCTTCTTATTCTGTGTATGTATACATAAACATAAATAATTATACATATATGCGATGAGTATATTAATTTTGACAAATATTTTTTTGCACTTTAATGAAATTTTATGCGTTTCTTTTGATCTTCTCTCGAAATTATAGAATTAGGTACTTTAAATTTGAATTAGTAAAAATGTTTACTAATTTTAAATAGTGACTGATTTTTTGCTTTTGAATTAGTAATGTTTACTAATAAATAATAATTTCCACTAATTTATTATAGTAAAGTGTACTTCATTAGCAAAAAATCTCTCACTGATTCAAATTACTAAACAGTTTTACTAAATTATTTTTAAACTAAATTAACATTTATAATATATAATAATTATAATTTATAATAAACTAAATTTTAATAATTATTAATTATTAAAATATTAACTAATTAATTTGAAAATTTTATTAATAAATAGTAGTTTCTATACTAATTTATTACTAAAATTTACTAATTCAAAAGCAAAAGTAAATGATTAATTTATTTGAATCATTATTTATTAATTGTCTATTATCAAGTAAATATTTATTTGTTAATAGACAAGTAATTTGATATTTGAATATAAAATAAATTTTTTTCAGTGCATTATTATTAAATTGAATTGAAATATTATTTTTATTATTGTTATTATTATATAATATATTTTCTCTCTTGAAAATACAGTAATGAATATTTAAAGAATAAAAAGAATAGTCATTTACAATTTTCATCTCTTATTAGAATATTAAAAATTTGCCTCATATACATATACAAAAATTAGCAGTAATAACATTTGATAGGTGAAATAAAAATAATCCGAATATATGAATTTTAAAATTAAATATATTTGTTTTCTGTGCTTGATGCACTCTGAAAGCATATAGATATGTACATATACATATGTGACGTGTAGAGTAAATGTCTTTTTAGTCTGAAAGAATTTTTCCATGGAGAAGATTATTAATCCAGTTCAACATTTCTGTCTGAATTTAATTATCGCCGTCCAATTAGGTAATTGGTCGATTCGATACTGTATTATATTATAAATTTAAAACCTTAAAACAGGGGTCATTAAACACTCGTTTTGTAGATGTACCCGTTTCAATTTCTTGGCACTTTCCAATATATATATATTCTTCAAAGACTTTAATAAATTATATGATTCTTACATACGATGAGAATAATTCTCAATGGATTCAATTATTCAGAATCAAGGATAAATTAAATCATCCTTATTATTAAATTGTGTCATTAAAAGCTTTCATTTTATAGAAAAATGCATTCATATATATTATTTAAATGATTTTTCATGTTCATTTTTCAAATTGAATCACATAATAATTCTCGTTAGTCGGAGTTGTCACTTAAATTTGAATTTTTTTTCCTGATTCTCAGACTGAGAATTGAAACTAATTCAAAATTACGAAGGACGACTTTTTGTTATTTAATTAGTTCACTGAAAAAAATAATAGGGTTGCCACAGGGCAGGGAAATCAGGGAATTCAGGGAAAAGTCAGGGAAAGTAGAATTGGTAAGGGAAAAGTCAGGGAAAGTAGAATTGGTAAGGGAAAAGTCAGGAATTTTTATTAAAGTACTAGAAAAAATTGAATTTTGGAAAAGTTACAAATGATTGCAGAAATTAATAAAATTTTTCTCCAAAATTCAATTACCTACACTGAAAAAAAAATTCTAATGAGTATTATTTGATTCAATTAAATATTTAATTGATAATAGTTAATTAGCCGGTTACTTGAATCAAATAAATTTTTTTTTTCAGTGTATTTTCAAAAATTTTAATAACATTTTTGGCACAAATTCAATTATTTCAAACATTTTTTTTAAACTCTTGTTCAATTATCTTTAAAACTAATAAAATTCTTTTCCAAAATTCAATTACCTATATTCAAAAAATTTAATAAAATTCTTGACACAAATTCAATTATTTTCAAAACTTTTAATAAAATTCTTGTCACAAATTCAATTATTTTCAAAAAAATTTTTAAACTCTCGTTCAATTATCTTTA